CATGAGTTTATCTTTTTTAACCGCTGAGTAGTATTCTTCCTGATCCACTCATCTGTTTTGGGGATTTAGGTTTTTTCCATACTTTGGTTATTGTAAATAGTACTGTAATAAACACAGGTTTCAATAAGTACAGGTTTCTTTTTGAATTAATATTTCTGTGTTCTTTGGGTAGATTCCTAGAAGCGGGATCTCTGGGTCATATGCTAGATCCATTTTTAGCATTCTGAGGAACCTCAACACAGCTTTCCACAGTGGCTGGACCAGTTTGCATTCCCACCAGCATGTTAGAGGGCTCCTTTTTCACCACATCCTCGCCAGCATCTGTTGTTTCTGATTTTTAAAATATGGGTGATTCTCACTGATGTGAGGTGGTATTTCATTGCGGTTTTGATTTGCATTTCCCTGATAATAAGTGATGTTGATCATTTTTCCATAGGCCTGTTGGTCACTGGCATTTCTTTGGAGAAGTATCTTTTTAGCTTTTCTGCCCATTTTTGACAGACACACACACAGGCCAATGGAATTGAATTGAAAGCCCAGAAATAAAGCCACACATATATGGTCAACTAATCCATGACAAAGGAGCAAAGACTAAACAGTGGCCCATGGAAAGCCTCTTCAATAAATGGTGCAGGGAAAATGGAACTGCCACATGCAAAAGAATGAAAGTCGACCGCGACCTCACAAGACACACACACACACACACACACACACACACACACACACACACACGGACTCAAAATGGGGAAAAGACGTGAATATAAGACCTGACACCAGAAAATATATAGAAGAAAACACAGCACAACACTCCATGACATACACCTCAGAAGCACCTTTCAGGGCTCATCCCCAGAAGCAAGGCAAGCAAAGGAGAAGACAAACAGCTGGGACCTACCCGGGACTGAAAAGCTTCTGTACCGCAGGAGAGGCAGCAACCACAACGGCGACATCCTACTGAATGGGAGAGAATATTTGCTTAGCTATACAATTGACGGGTGGGTAGCAAAGACCTACCAAGAGCTCACACAACTCAACAAAAACAAAGAAACAACCCAGTCCAAAAAATGGGCTTTTGTTTTTGTTGTTGAGTTGTAAGAGCCTTCGGTCTGGCTTTTTTTTTTTAAAGATTTGTTTTATTTATACAAGAACCGGGGCACAGGCCAGAGGCGTGGGAGGGTGAGAGGATTCACCAGATACAGAGTGGGGAGCAGAACAGGCAGGCGGACCAAAGAACTGCTGAGGGGAGCAGCAGGCGAGGCCGGAGAGGTCTGCTGCGCCATGTGGGAATCTCCCTGACCGGCCAGGAATCAAAGCCGCGCTGCAGTGGCTGCGGACAGCTTCACAGCGTGGCGCTCAACCTGCTACGCCACCAGGGAGGCCGGTTGTTCTTTCTTGAGACTCTGATGCATAAAAGTTTTAATTCTGATAAAGTCTATTTTTTCCTTTTGTTTTTCTTTGCGTGGTGTCACGTTTAAGACTAAGTCAAGGGCCTCCCTGGTGGTGCAAGGGGTTAAGATGCAACCTATGAAACTATCCACAGCCTCTGCAGCACAAGTTCCATGCCCGGACAGAGAGCTGCCCACAGGGCGCAGCAGGCCTTACTTGTCTCCCCGTTGCTCCCCTCAGCGTGTATTTCAGTCAATCTTCCTGTTCTGTTCCCCACTCTGTCTCTGGTGAATCTTCTCACCCCCCATACCTCTGGCCTGTACCCCAGTTCTTGTATACATAAATACATCTTAAAAAAAAAAAAGACAAAGTCAAGATTTAGCTCTATGTTTCCTTCTAAGAGTTTTATAGTTTTAGCTCTGACATTTGGATTTTTTAACCATTTTGAATTAATTTTTGTATATGGTGTGAGGCAGCACCCTCACATCATTCTCTAGTTGGTTATCCAGTTGTCCTAGCATCAGTGGTTGAAAAGGCTATTCTTTTCCCCACTGAGTTGTCTTGTCACCATTGTCAAAACTCAACTGAACGTAAATTTCTATTTCTTAATTCTATTCCATTGATCTACCTTCTTATCCTTATGCCAGGGATACACTGCCTTGATTACTGTTGGTTTGCAGTAAGTTTTGAAATCGGGAAGTGTGAGTCCCCCAACTTTGAGATTGCTTCAGCTCTTCTGGCTCCTTGAATGTCCACATGAAGTTTAGAGTCAGTTTGTCAGCTCTACAGAGAAGCAGCTGGGGTTTCAAGAGTCATTGCTTTGAATCTATAGGTCAATCAGGGAAATACTGGCATCTTTGATATTGTTTTCCAGCCCATGGGCACAGAATGTCTTATCATTTAGGTCTTCTGAATTTCTTTCAACCATACATATTTTACCCTTAATTTTGTTCCTGGGTATTTAATTATTTTTTTTAATAAATACAACATGCAAATTGTATTTAACAAAGGGTAACAGATAAAGTCAAACAGGGACTTACATGAAGAAAACAAATGACTACAAGATAGTTTGTCTTAAACATCTTACAGTAACCTACTTGCAGTTGCAATTAACTGAGCTCTGTTGCTGTGAAGAATCCAGCTCATGCACAGGTGTGGATGGACAATTTGTACGTTTTTCAAGTATTCCTTAAATACCACATTATATATACATAAAAATTAAATATGAAAAATATTCAATTGACCATCCCCCCATACAAGTCATTGTTATTGATCTTTTGGAAGAGGCCATGTAAACAGAACAGGTAGTTCTGGCTCATGAGTCAGACAATGAACCAGCTGGACTGTTAGACAACACGTCTCCACGCCTCCTCAGACATCATATGGGTATTGTGTACTTGTTTGGAAAATTCTCCAGTTAACATGTCACACTGGTCCTCAGTGCTGTCCGAGAACGTGTTTGAGTAATAGACCTGCTTGTGGGTCATCCCATGAGGCAGGCAAGAGCAGCCAGGAGCGAGAGACTGGTACACTAGGCCGCATGACTAGGTTGGGCTGAAGTAACTACTCAACTTTTTTTTTTTTTTTAAGATTTATTTATTTATTTATACAAGAACCAGGGTATAGGCCAGATGTGTGTAGGGTGAGAGGATTCACCAGAGACAGAGCGGGGAGCAGAACAGGCAGATGGACCAAAAGCACTGCTGAGGGGAGCAGCGGGCGCAACAGGAGAGGTCTGCTGCGCCATGTGGGACCCTCACCGGCCAGCCAGGATTGAACCCGCACTGCAGAGGCTGCAGACAGTTTCACAGTGCAGTGCTCAACTGCCTGCACCAACAGGGGAGGCTCTCAACTTCTTTTTGATGTAATGGAATTGTTTCCTTAACATCAGTCGGTTCATTGTTACTGTACAGAAATAAAATTTATTTTGTATATTGATCTCATACCTTGCAACTTTGCTGAGTTCATCTATCCATTCCTATAGTTTTTCAGTTATTATTTTTAAAATTTTCTATATATGTTGTTGTCATCTGCAAAAACATAGTATCTTTTCCTTGTCAAATTTATGTCAAGTCTCAGGAAATCAAATCTCTAGTTTATAAATGTCAGGGTGAAGGACTATGTTCTTGGCATCCTTGGACAAACTTAGCTTTTCAGTGTTGTGAAGACGGTTAATGACTCATTCAGGCTTTTCAGCAGCAGAAGAGTTTGGTCAAGAGGATAGTGACCAGATAGGCCTCTTTCAGTAAGTGTCACACTGGAGCACTTAGGTCATTTGAGGCCCTGTGGGCCTCAGGAAGTCTGTTACCATAACTTAAGGTATTTTTTTTTTAAAGATTTATTTTATTTATTTATACAAGAACTAGGGTACAGGCCAGATGCACGGGAGGTTAAAAGGATTCACCAGAGACAGAATGGGGAACAGAACAGGCAGACTGACGAAATACACTGCTGAGGGGAGCAGCGGGCGACGCAGAAGAGGTCTGCCGTGCACATGAGGTCCTTTAGGATCTACCTCCAACCTACTTTTCTAACCTCAGCTCTGACATGTGTGCCGTTGCACCCTATACTGGAGCCACTCCAGCCCTCACCACCCCCCACCCCACACACACAGCCCTTTCTGTGCCTCTGTTTACCTAAAATCTTCAGTCTGATATCCCCCCTCCCCCCCTTCCTCCCATTCATCATTTCTGCCCATTCAGATCTTTCAAAGCTCTTTTCTCAAGGAAGCCTTATCTAAAATCCCACTAAGAATTGCCATGTGGGGCCTCCCCTGGTGGCGCAGCGGTTGAGCGCTGGGTTGTGAAGCTGCCCACAGCCTCTGCAGCACCAGTTCGATCCCCGGCCGCCAGCGAGGGTCCCACATGGCGCGCAGACCTCTCCTGCCGCTGCTCCCCTCAGCAGTGTATTTCGTCAGTCTGCCTGTTCTGCTCCCCTCTCTGGCTCTGGTGAATTCTCTCACCCTCCCACGCTTCTGACTGTACCCAGTGCTTGTATAAATAAATAAATAAATCTTAAAAAAAAAAAAAGAAGAATTGCCATGTGGTTGGTGTTACAGGCTGCTCATAGGTCTGTCATTAGTCTAAAACATTCTTGAAGTCAGGGTCAAGTCTTAGTATCTTCCTAGTCTTAAATGCAATACTTAATATGTGGTAACAAAAATTTACATGCAAAAAAACCCTTTTACATAGAATGAAATAAAATAGTACCTGATACATGGCAAACGTTCAATAAATGGCATTATAGGTGCCCAACAAATATTTTGTGAAAAATGCCCAAATAGCTTATACTGATTTATTATTAGCATGCTAAGTTCTTTTAGAATGAACACTGCTTGAAAACCATCACAAAGAGTTTCAACCTACTGTCTTGGTGACAGCAAAAGGTGAGGTTGTGGAGCCTCAGAAAGGGCCACAAGATATTTACAAAGACCCAGGTTCATGTGTCACTTAATCCAGCTTCCCTATAGGTAGATTTAAATATTGAAATCTCTTTATATCCATTTAACCCCTGAAACCTAGTACCGTCTTAGTACAGAGTAAGCACTTAACAAATAGGTTGAAGGAATTAAAAAAGGAATGAGTTAGGACAAACTGCTCCCGTGTCAGGCTTTCCAAATAAACTGTGAGCACAGCAAGAACAGGCTGCATGTTTCATTCCTCTTTTTGTCTCCAGCACATAAGAGTATCTGACACGAAATGAATGTTTACTAAACAGCTATTTATTAAATTATAGATAAGAGGTAAATATTTGGTTTACTTTAAAGATGCAAAGAAGGAAAAGGAAAACACATTTCTTGCTTCATATACTTGCACCAAAGATACATGAGTAACTTCATGAATTGGGGTGGAGAAGAGAAATCTTTGAGGATATCAAAGTGAACTTGGAGACTGAGGTCACCTGAGTCCTCCAGCATGGTGGAGCTGGCCAGCCCCTGTGGCTGAGAGTCTAGCCCAGCTGAGATCTCCAGTCCCCAACTGTCAGCTCAGCCTCAGTCTCCAACAGGAGAAACACAGCCAGGGCAGGCTGTGGTCAGATCTCTTAGACCAAGAATCCGCACCTGTTAGGGAGATTGGCAGTGTGTCCACAGTGAAAAACAATGGTCTTATTTGGAAGGACAGCAGTGTCACCCAGAGCATAAACAAATGTGGGAATGGAACGGACAATCTCTGTATCACATCTGCTTCAAGAGAGGCACACGAGCTCCCTTCCAAAATACACTAGCACGTTGCATCACGGTGGAAAGAATGGAAAAGCCAGACTGGGTTTGCGGGTGAGGTCACATCTTGGGGAAGCTGGCCAGGTTGGCAATGCCACAGGTGTTGTTCTTATTCCGAGCCATGAGGATGTAGCCTTTGTTTCCCCAGTTCTCTCCCCAGCTGTGGAGCAATCAAGGGAAAATACTTAGTACCTTCATTTTACTTAGTCACCAAAACACTGAGTGCTGTGCTGGTTTATACAAAAATGAGTTTTTACTTAAAAATGTTTAAAGTCAGAAGTGTTGAGAGGCATAGGTGCTGTGGGTCTCCAAGATGACAGAGATTGCTTCTGATCAAGGGGACTGAAACAGGCTTCATATAAGAGGCAGCACTTGAGCTGAGCACCAAGTTTGGGCAGAATTAGGTCTTGTGGCCATGGGATGTTAGCAGCGGAGTGTGAAGTGAGTAATAGAGGCAGGAAGGCACTGGACATATGTTGGGGCCATGGGGCTAAATATAGGGTGTCTGAGCTATTTTTCGTGTAGTGGGAGATGTGTCTGGAAAGTAGATTGAGGTCAAGTTGGATCATCTTTGCCGCCACTGTGGTGGGCCAGAGTGACCCGAGTGCCCATGAGTGCAGCAGCCGCTGGCGTCTGAGCGTGCGAAGAGTTTACGAAGAGTAATCTTGAAAATGTGAGTCTGGAGCATAAGTGGCCAGAGAGGCTGACCCTGGTGGTCGTGACTGGGGAGCACACCCGTAGGAGAAAGGAGTGACGCTCTGGCAGGGAGGAGAGCGCTAAGGAAACCAAGAGGGCAGAAGACTAGAGAGGGAGGGAGGGAGAGACAGGAGAGGAGAGGCTGGTGTACAGATCTTCTTAAGTTGTTTCCATTAGTATCCCGGCCTTTGTCCCTGAGGAGCAAATTCTCCAATTCATTCCCCTTAGGACCGAGCAAGCTCTCCCCCTGCTTCCCTCCCTGGGGGGCCTCAATGACCAGCTCCCACCTGGGGGCTTCCCTCCCTCCTCCCAGTCTCTTGGATGTGGATTCCACTCTTGGCACCTAACAGGGCGAGCTTGGGGCTGGGAGTGAGAAAGGAGGAGCCAGGACAGGAGCGGGGGAGGGGAGCACTGTCTCAGAGGGTGCTGGTGTCACCTGCAATTTGGGCTGTGATAGGAGAGGCTGCTTCGGGGCAACCTCACATTTGGTCCTGTCTGCCCTCCAGCAGCAGCCCAGCTGTTTCCACCATGTACCCGCCTGTCCACTCCCCAGAGAGCAGGACTGCAGCGCGGGGAGGAACCAAGTACGGGAAACTTAAGCAGTGCTCCTGCCAGATGCTGCTGCCCTGCAAGGAAGAGTCTCATTCTTATGAATCTGCGCCCCCAGAGTCAGAGGAAACTGAAGAGAAACGGAGAGTCACGGCAACCTGTCATTACTGTCCCCAAGAACAGGGAAGGAAACGCTTCCGGACAGTGTTTCTCTTCACAGACCTCATGTCTTGGCGAGTTACTACATCTCTATCCAAAGTGCAGCCGGCGGAACCAAAAGTGGCCCAGGGGAATGCCAAGGGGGAACGGGAAAATGATATATGTATATTTCCCGAAGTTCCTGCTGGTTCTTTGTGCTACTTTACATTCCGGAGAGCGAGGCCTGTCTTTCTTGGGCCGTGAGACCACAGAAGGTGGACCCCGCTCCTTCGTGTACAGGACTGAGCCTGCTCCAGGAGCAGCTCCTGGCACACTTGAGTACTGTTGTCTGGCTGTTAAACATCAGAATTCAGAGCCTCTGATGGGGTAAGCAGGACTGTGAAGTCTGAGACAATTTTCTGACTCGGTAGAGAAAGGAATATAGTGAAACTGAAGATGAGGCTGAGTGCTAACAGGGTAGTTTGGAGGCGGAAAAAAAGTTCCCATCGTCACCTGTTTTTAATTATCCAGTGCTTGCTTCCCCTCTGGGCCCCGTACCCCACGGCCAGCACCGCGTGGTTCAGGTTATCGCTGTTGCAGTTTTCATCGTAATACACGCCTAGGAAACAAGCACCAGCATGAGCTTCCTGCAGCGCCGGGGAGGGCCTGTGGGGTCTCTGAGGAGGCTGCAGAGCTCTGTCCCCGTGGGGAGGCTGAGACAGAAGCGCCTGCACCGTGGCAGCTGCTAGTTTCTCCCCGGGCTACTCAGTCAGGACATGGACACCCTGAAAAGACTGAGCGCCCTGGCGGGCCGCCTGACTGAGCGCCACCGGAGCCCCTTACCTTTGCTGTAAAACTGGAAGGAGGTGAGACTCGCGTCAATGGCCACAGAGATGGGTCCTACCCGGGCCACTGCCCTCTTCAGGGCTTTCTCACTCCCCTCAGGGATCTCCCTGTACCCTCTGCATTTCGCTGCCTTGCCCGTCGGGGTGTACATACAGCTCTCGTCCTGCAAGACACAGGGTGAAACAGGACTAGGGAGAAACAGGACGAGGGCAAAGCCATGGGCAGTGGCTCCGTGAGTGATGCCAGGGAACTAAGAGGGGGCACACAGTGGGGTCTCTCGAGGGGGTGTCTTTTCTCCTCACCATTTTAGAAAATGATAAACAAGTAGAAAAGCGGGTATGTCGCGCCATATACAAAGCTAACCCCAGGGACTTTTCAAACTAAACTGGGGAAAGGAGTACTGTAAAACTCTGAAGAGTGAGAGAGAGCAAATATTGTAATTAACACAGGGTAGGAGGAGATTTCTGGAATAAACATTTTTATGAAGCACAAATGACTTTCGGTCATGTGGTCTAAATGAGCCTCAGAAGGCAGGAAGACAAGGGCTGCCGCGTGAGAAGGAGGCCGAGGCCCAGGCCCGCCCGGTGTGCACACAGAGGGCAGTGAGCGCCAGGCAGTTCCACTGGACTTGTCTCTAGCCAGGGCGGGAGGTAAAGCACATAATGGGACACCGGAGCAAATTTATAAAGAACTTAGCAATTGACCACGTGAGCTTCACAATAAGCTTCACAGACCTAGTTAGCAATTATCTGTTTCATTGGCCACCCCAGGAAATCTAGCCAGGTCAAGGAGGTACTCTCCCTGGCAATGCGTTTTCCGAACCACTACCCCGTCAAAGCCCTAAAGTCGCATCCACGAGAACACATTACTGTAATGTTAACAATGGCAGCGTGTCCTAAAGTTACAGAGGTTGCCTGTCTTAGTTTCTCAAGCAGTTTGTTCTCTGCTACATGATCCAAACCCCTGATTGTGCCAAAACCTGCACAATCAACAAGTGAAATAAAGGATCTTGGGAGTGACTTTAGAAATGCACCTGCACTAATACTTTACAGCAGAGTAACTTGCATTTTGGTGCTGTATTATCTGGAAGTAGCCAGAGATCAGTTTCTTCATTTTTAAATTTTATTTTTCTTTACCTCCCTTCATTCATTCATTCACATGTTTATATGAAAAACTCTTTCTGTTTCATACAATAGCTACTTTTTAAAAGTGTAAAGTAGATAAAAGAGAACAGCTGCCCCAGATTCAGAATGTTAAAAATCAAACGTGCATTACATGGCTAATTCTTCTTTTTCATTAATTTTGAGAACAGAAACATTGCAGGTTGCTCTGAAATGCTGAAGAGACCATTTGAGGGGGCAGGAAAGCAGAAATGAGAAGTCAAATGTTTCTTCTATTTTAAGAGTTTCAAATATTATGTGATTTTCATTTAAATTATTCAGAATCTCTGAACTATTGAACCCTCTACAAGGCTGGTAACTACAGTACTTTAAAAATGATATAAGCTATCGGTAGATGCATAATAAATGAATAGTTCTGTCATATTTAATTTATTTTTCTTTAATATACCTATGCAAGCCTTTAAATCAGCTACTTAGATTAATGAATATGAAATCATAAATATCTGTTTCTTTTTAATATACCATTGGAATTTGTTTCATTTTTTACTATTGTGCAACAACAGAAAGTTGTTGAAAGACTACATGACAATTTAAAAAACTCATTGCCACGTTCAGGTTATCTCAGTGATGGATCTGATGTTTTTAGAATTTTAAAGTGCAGAGTGGTGTCAGCATGCTCTGCCTTGGCAGCAGCCCCAGAAATGTTTGGACCCAACATTTCCAAAAATTGCACACAGATGAAGGGGATTTTTTTTCCAGATACCACCTCCTATTTCTTTCCCTTGTATACCTGACAGCTAAGTAGTCATAAGATGGAATAACAATGGGATGAAATTTACAAAGCAAATCCCTGTTTTGAAGTGACCCCTTGATGAGGGTGTGCTGAAGTAACCTGACCATGTGGGTTGCTGAACCCCGGATTAGTGGATCTGTGTGGTTGTGAACACTGATGAGCACTTTACTGTCGCAGGTATTTCAAGTGACTAAACAGGAATGAGCAAAACTCATTGCTGCTGGACTTTGAAGTCATCAAATGCAAAGGGAAAATAATTTTACATTGAAAAAATTTCTGGATTGAAAGATCACAAAAACAAACATTGGGGCCTCCCCCAGTGGCGCAGCGGGTTGAGCGCTGCGCTGTGAAGCTGTCTGCAGCCTCTGCAGCGCCGGTTCGATTCCCGGCCGGCCAGGGAGCTTCCCACATGGCATGGCAGACCTCTTCTGCCTTGCCCGCTGCTCCCCTCAGCAGTGTCTTCGGTCCGTCTGCCTGTTCTGTTCCCCACTCTGCCTACAGTGAATCCTCTTACCCTCCCGCGCCTCTGACCTATACCCCCATTCTTGTATAAATAAATCTTTAAAAAAAAAAGACCCATAATGTAGAGTATCAACATCAAGCATCTTTAAAATTCTTAAAAATCCATAAGAGAAAAACAACCTAGTTAAAAATGGACAAAAGACATAAACAATCAATTATCAATTCTATGAAGAACGACAGACGGCCAACACACAGATAAATCTATAGAATTTCTCATTCACAACAGGTGGGAGCATAAAATTCTCCAAATACAATGATGAACAACTTGACATCTAGAAAAGTTAGAGGTCACGTACCCTAAGACTCTGACCATCCTGTTCCAAGGCTTTGGTCTAGTAAAGAAATTCTTGCTCGTGAATCTTTGTAGCAGATAAACTACTTTGTAGGCAAATCTTGGCTCTGCCAAATAACTAGTGGTATTAATTTGAGTAGGTCTTATTTCCTTAAGTGTCAGTTCCCTTACATATAAAGTGGGGTAGCCAACAGGGCTAGTGAGGATTAAACAAGAAAAATCCACTTGGCACATAATAGCCATCATTTTTATCACTCAAACGTGCTATCCCTGTTTCACAGACCATCACTGTAAAGACCATAATATCTATTACCCCCATGCACATAGAAAGTCCTCAGATCATCTTCCTTTTAAATAAGAATGATCTCTTTCCTATTAGTAAAGGATCACACGGGAGGAAATTACTTGATCTCTAAAAAAATCACAGTATGAAGTATGAAGCAACGTGCTATTTTCTCTCATAGTATGTACATGTTAGCACGTTAACTTACATAATTTGCTTAAACATGCCCAATACCCACATGGAGATCACACAAAACAAAGCCATGTGGTTCATGAAATCAGCAAGGCGGCTGGGGTATGCTGCGAGTGGAGAAGTGTGTAGAGGGGTGTAGGGACCCCCACAAAGGCCCGTGGGCCAACCTGTGCTCTGCCTGTTCTGAGGGGCAGAGAGGAGCCAGCCTACGTGCCCCAGATTGAGGGGCTCTTCATCTTTTGTGAGAGTTCACCCCATCAAGAAAGCAGGACAGGGTAACAGAAAATAAGATTTCTGTTACTGATTCCAGAACAAAATGATCCTGCCGGGGAGGCAGGAGCCACCGCGGGCCGTGTAACCGTGCGGGCAGCCTCACCTGGCCCACGTATGGGTAGGCGTCCTCCGAGTCAATGCCCCGGTTCTTCTGCACGTACTGGAAGGCGTTGGTCATGTAACCGCCGCCGCAGCCGTCGTTCTCGGACACACAGTCCACCAGGTTCTGAGGACTGAGGTTTAAGAGTTTGCCGGTTTTCTTCTTGAGCTGGCCCTCCAGGGCGCCCACAGAGCTGAAGGCCCAGCAGGAGCCACACTGGCCCTGCGGGGCAGAACAGAGAGACTCTGAGGTGCCACTGTCCACATCCGTCCCTTCTCGCTACCTGCCTGACAGAGTTACGCGCGCTTATAAACCCGGCCCGGTCCTCTCTTGTGGATTCTTCCCGGCCCCCACCTCTCTCTGTCTGTCTCTCTCTCCATGTCACTTTGCTGCGTCCTACTGTGCGGCTGCTGCTGCTGAAAACTGTTGTCAGCACTGGCTACAGCAGGGCACAGAGCGCTCAGGAGGTCCACTTGAGTCCTCCATGGGTTCGTGAAAGCCATAATGTACGGTAACAGTGGGTCTGCCGTCAAGCTGTCTTGCTCCAAGTCGGCTGGGACTGATCTTCCCTCATCAGTGTTCTCATGAACCATGCTGCCCTGGCTCTCATGCTGTCCTGGCTTTGCAAGTCACTACGTATGTGATCTTGGGGCAGAGAGTAAACCGCAGAGTCTTCGTTTTCTTAGGTGTAAAATGTGGATAATAATAATAATGCACTTAAATTGAATTATGAAGGTTTGAAAAGTTAATTGATTTAAAGTACATGCATTTTTGACACATAACAATCTCTAAAAAAAGTGCTAGCTACTATTAGTGTTTAGCTAGGTTAACAATTTTCCTTCTCTGTTCTATTTTTTAAGATTGTGGGTTTCTGGAGGATAAAGGCTCTATCTTGGCAGCCTGAATACCTGTGCTTAGCACCACATAGAGCGGACAGGTTCTGGAAAAAAAACGTGTTTGTTGAATTGTCAGAACAAATGTTAAATGTCTATCTGGTTGATACATTCTATGTTGGTGAGGTTGTAGGAAACCCGGCAAAAACTTTTTTGGAAAAGGGCCCCAGGGACCTAGCAACTCCAACGTTAGGATTTACTCTGCACACACATTTTTACAAGCACACAAAAATACATGCACCAGGGTGCGTCCAGCAACACTCTAAAAGAGGAAAAACAGAAACCACCTAAATGCAGAAAAATGGGTGATGTGCTCAATAAACATAATAGACATAGTCTCTTAGCAAACAGGGAGGTACCTAAATTCCTTGCCCGCTTCTGGTGCCCTCCCACCTTAAGAACAAAGAAACACAGAAAGGAAGAGGTCATGTCAGACGACGTGCGCGCACCCAGGAGGAAGAGTACCTGGTTTTTGACAGGAGTGACATATCCCTTCTTTCGATAATCGATGGCATCTGGGACTCTCCCTTCCCAGTCCGGGATGTAGAGGGTGTCGTTACCACGGGGACGCGAGGGTGGCACTTTGAGCCCAGTCATCTTCTGGACTACCTCTTCGCTGGTCTGCAGCAAGGAAGAAATGAGTCAGGCATCAGGAGAGAACTGAGCAAACAGGGCGAGTAGCTGGGAGTTGAGAGTTAACTCACCATGTCCCCCAAGTGGTTCATGGCCAGCTCATAAGTATGTACACCCAGAGAGGCCTCCAGATTATGGGTGGAGATATGCTTCAGGTTTTTTTCCCAAATCAGACGCCGAGAGATTTCTTCCTCCTAAACAGAGCACAATCAGTACTAGCACAGACTGTGTCCTGCGTGCAAAGCTACATCTGTAAGCCTGGAGGGCTTTAGAAGATAAAACTTAAATCACAGAGAATTTAAAAATATATTGTTGGGAACTGACCATGGGGTTATTAGCATGCAAAAAGAAATACATAAATAAAAACAAATTAATAGGTGAAGTCCTGGAGAGAATATAGAAAAAATGTTTATGGAGGAATAGTATTAATCTAATGTTTCTCCCAAAGAGAAATATGTTATAAAGAAAAAAAGGATAGAACTTGAGGGCCAAGTTGAAAACCAGGAACAAAAACTATGTTAAGAAATAGGGCACATGGCCTCTCTGGTGGCACAAGGGGTTAAGCACAGCGCTGTGAAGCTGTCCACAGCCTCTGCATCCCAGGTCAGCTGGGGAGCTACCTACATGGCACGGCAGACCTCCCCTGACTCACCGCTGCTCCCCTCAGCAGTGTACTTGGGTCTATCTGCCTGTTCTGTTCCCCGCTCTGTATCTGGTGAATCCTCTCACCTCCCACACTTCTGGCCTGTGCCCCAGTTCTTGTATGCATAAATAAGTAAATCTTAAAAAAGAATTAGGGCACAGGTACAAGTCTGCTTTGCGGGAGCAGCTAAAGGGTTTGCACTGAGGGAGGCGGTCTGGGCCTTGGGGCTTGTGGTCTTGAGGGGTCCCCATGCCCTCCCCCCTGGGCACCTTGCTGGTGTACTGCTTCTGGTGGGTCTTCTTCCATAGCTCCCAATGAGAGTCCAGCATCTCCTCAGGATACAGAGCAGAGCTCACCACGGGCAGGAGCAGCAGAACCTTAAGCCACCACATCCTGAGGAAGGGGATACTTAGGGGAGATTCTTTGATTTGCCAAGGGGCTCAGAGCCTGGCTTGGGATGAGGAAACAGCCAGAACCATAGTCCCTGGTGGGCAGTTCTTAACTTTTGGGAGCAGCCACAGGTTCCTTTAAGAAGCTAATAAAATTTTTCAACACTAATTCCGGAGTGTGCACCCAGAAGTTAAAAACCCCTCCCTCCAGACCATGAGGCAAAAGAAAACTAGGCTTTGTAAAGCAGGCAGCCAAAGAATCGAGGGCGATTTCCCTGTACACAGCCAGTCAGTGGGCGTCGGGTTGGATGGGCTGCTGATACACTTGAATGCAGGTATTTTAAGCTAGGGAGACTGAAAACACGCATGTGCGTGTGCGCGCGCACACACACACACATACACACACACCTTGCACAACCAGAAAGAGTAGAAAATGGACAATCTGGATGATCTCAGCACCTGCCTCCTCCATTGTCCCCAGCAGACATGGAGACAGATAAACTAGGAGCAGGTGGGGCCAGCGGGGCTGGAGAATACACAAGGGACAAATTTCCAGCTAAATTCTATATCCTGGTCACCCGAGGCATTCTTTCTTCCTTGCGTAAATCCTAATACTTCTCCAGTTCTTGCCAGGAGAGAACAAGGGAAACACTGACAGAACTTCCGATCCACTATATGAGCTATTTACTTTCTCTTCCGAATTCTTATAAACTCTCCCTGCTCCCTCCTCAGGCAGGAAACCATACTAATTTCAACCAGCTGCTGAGGTTTTCTTTTTCTGATCAACCAAAACACATCACTGCCTCTGAGGACAAAACACCTCAAAACCAAAGTTTGTTAGAAGAATGTAAGAGAAAAATCAATGTTTTGTTATCATTGAATTCACAGCACTCAGAAGTTTACTCTGGCTTTTCTTCTTGCCCAGTGGCTTTACGGTATCCTCCATTTTAAGAGCAACTTGCACCCTGTAGCAGGTCAGACAGCTTGCGAACATTTTTGTTACAGTCCTTTTTCTGGGTAACCTTTGCAAACTGGCCGAATGTCCAGGACATAAATGCCTGGAGCATTAAGGGCTTGGAAATGTCTCAAGCAGTACGAGGTTCTGAGCTCCCTGCACGCCTCCTCCCCACTGGTAAGTTAACGCCTTTGGTATCCTTGACCAAAACCAAAAATCCTAGACATTCTGAGGGACCGGAAGGTAGAGGATTCCCGACAATCACAGATACATCCCAAAGGCAGGACTCCTGATCAAGCAGATTTTATTTTGCCTAAGAAGGCATCACTGTTTTCATCCATACAACCTAACAGTTCATGTGATCCCCAAGTCACTCTCTCTCTAACACTTGGGCGGTGGAGACCTGCAGGAAGGAGAAGCTAAAAGATCCAGTAAGTCAAAGATGTTACCTGCCGTCAGGGAGCTGCTCTCGAGCTGGTTTCCGCATGAGTGGCTAATGCGGGCGGACGGCTGCAGGGCTGGATTTATTCCATCAGAATTGAGGAAGTCAACTCCAGCTGTTGGCTGGAAAATTTGGATAGGGAAGGAGGCGGGGAAAGAAATGCTGAAAAAAAGGGGGTAAGGGAGGAGGCGTGTGGCGACAGGAGGGATTATTCGCCAGAGAGAAGCTGCTGGGAATCTAGTTTCACATGACGGCTTTGAGGAAACACAGAGACCTCAAAACACGTCACTCTCTTTGATGGATAAATAGGACACAGCTCTGGTCGTCTTCTATTAGGGGGCATTACATATTTTCCCTGCTTTTCCTGATATTACTCATCTCTCTAGCCTTGAAACCTGTTTTCAAATGTTTGATCCTCACATGAAAAGCTAGAAAAGTATGGATAAAGGTGGCCATAGGCTAAAAATCATTTGTATTTGGAAACTTGTTGGCTAAAAGTTATCGCCTTGAGGCAGGGAACAGTTGTACCCCCTAACATGGCTTGCTGAGGGAGGACATGATCAGATGGAACCAGTTCTAGAAGTAACCAAAAACAGCATCGCTAACTATTTAGGACAGCACTTTAATCAGTGCCATGAGGGAGCCGCACGTGACTGCTGCTGTCCTGGGACTGAGCCGGCAGGACGCCTGACGACCATTTCCCGTCTGCCCTTAAAATCCCTAGCGCAGGTCCAGTCATATGAGTGTGGCCAAGTGCTTCCCTACCATCCAGCCATGTGACAGATCATAAGAGTCCAGTTCAGTCCCTAAGCCACATGCCCAAACTCCTGTTTTCTTCCATAAACAGATGTCATGGAAGAGGGGGTGCCAGGAGTAGGATGGGCAATACGTGGCATCTAAATTCAGTTTCTAGCTGGATTACACACACAGACCCTCAAGCACAAAGGTTTTAAGATTCTCTAATGAGGACCTCCCCTGGTGGCACAGCGGTTGAGCGCTGGGCTGCGAAGCTGCCCGCAGCCTCTGCAGCACCAGTTCGATCCCTGTGATCCCCGGCCGCTGGCGAGGGTCCCACATGGCATGACAGACCTCTCCTGCCGCGCCCGCTGCTCCCCTCAGCGGTGTATGTCGTTGGTCTGCCTGTTCTGTTTTCTGCTCTGGCTTTGGTGAGTTCTCTCACCCTCCCGCGCTTCTGACTGTACCCAGTGCTTGTGTAAATAAATAAACAAATCTTTAAAAAAAAAAAAAATCCGCTAACAAATCACGTGGTCTAAGAGGGAAGCCAAGTTCGAAACTGAATTCAGTTCAAATTTCCACATTCCTGATTGCTTGTCCTTCAAGAGGACGTGCTGGGGAAGGAACCCGAACATGCCTCACTGGTCTCAGGGGCCAAAGCTCCCCTCTGAGGACTCGGGCAAACCCAGCCCCACCCCACGGCCAGCCGTCTCTGCGGACACTGTCCATGAGTCACGATCAGGAGGACGAGTAAAGAAGGGGCGCTGGGCGATCAGAGCCCTGTGGTTTCTGATTCCTGACATCAGAGACACGCGGGCTGTGTGTGTGTATGAGAAGCTCGAAGTGTGGACCCAACTGGCTGTGCTTGTCGTCTGTGAGCTGGAAAGGAATGATAAAGCCGCAATCAAGGTCACACAACACAAGGAAGTTTACAAAAGGAAAAAACATATTTTGTTTTAAAATCTTTGCTACATGTCATTGTTTTTGCCACTGTAAGGCTGAGCACAGATGCTAGCAGTACAGAAACGGCCAACAAGAAACAAAACAATCAAAAATAAAACCCTGAAGGAAAAGCAGAAACCCCCAGAGCATCTTCCCACCTTCCCTTCCCCAAAGTCCTAGAACAACTGTACAATATTATAGTCCTGATCACATTTTAAAACAGTTGATTATTAAAAAACAAGGATTCCATTGGAAACTCAACTTTTTGGTTTCTTAAACTGTGATATAAATATATAGGTATACTGTATGTGTGCACAGAGAATAAAAAAATAAACTGTCTCCTTTCCCATGGCACTACGTGGCACCAAACTAGAGACAGAGGGAGGGAAACCCAGCAACAACACCCTCTCAACCTCTCCAAGGTCACCCGTGCTCCTCAGTTCCCCTATGGCTACATTTAATGATGTCTTCCTTAGTTTTACACTTAAGATACTGGCCTGAGCCAATTAAAACCAAAAGCATGGCTGGTACACATGACCGTTACCTGAGGAAGGGCAGCATTCATATGGCTATAGTTACTACGTGACCCTGTCAGGAGGGGAGGCCAGGCCCCAGCGATCCCAGGGATTCACTCCATTTGCACGAGGATGCAAAGTCCATCCTCAAGACTGGAGATGAAGCAGAGGAAAGGCCTCCAAATACTCAATTCTGTTTGCTGAGAGACTACTACACTTTGAGAATGGGATAAAAGAGGCTACTTCTTCGCAAGAAGGCTTGGTATCTGGTCTAACCTCCAGAAGGAAGGATTTTCACTGAGACTGTGACTCCAAGAAGTTGAGTTTCCACGCAGAAACAACCTCCATAGAAAATACATTGTACGTGAATCTGACAGAAAAACGCAGCATCCTTATGGCCATGTCTGGGCTATTTTTCGTAAAAGTGTTTATCTTGCCGGCCTATTTCTGTAATGTCTGCAGATCTTCCATTCAAGGGGAGAGCACCGAAAGCAGGAATGAACCAGCTTGATCACTTATTATGTTCAATGAGATCGATCACATCAACAGAAGACTGCATCTGTCACAGCTGCGTGCTGGCTGGGCACAGACTGAGTGCAGCAAAGACATTCATTTAAATACTCCTTGGCTGCAGTACTACATGGAAAATACTTGGGAAGATTAAACTCCCTGGGACTCTTTGAAAAACATACAGAAAGACAAAGATAAAATCTGTAACACGTTTTGCATAACTCCCAAATAGGGAGAAACAAACAGAAAAGCACACACTCACTCCTAGCATATTCTCTCTCGCTCACTCTCCCTCACGCACATTTCTTTCCAGAGGAGCTGCTCACAGGCACCAGGAAGAGCCTATGTTCACTTCCTAAAGCCCCATGTAAAGCTACCAAGTCTCACGGTCCTCACATAAGAGGACATTTCTTTTCTCTCCTGTCTTATTCAGAATTTCTTTCCAAAAGCAAGCCACTGCATCCAAGGCGAACAGTGTGGATGTCCGGTGCTCGACTCTGTCCCTGACCCAGCCCAAGTCATCTCGGCACACGGCTCTGGCCACGGGGCCTCGGAAAGGCTTTCTTCACCTTACCCAGCCTCAGTCATCCAAAGGGCTCCGAAGCCTTGAGGATTCACTCCATTTCTTCTACAAATGTTATTTCAAAGAGGCAAGAGGGCAAGGAAAAGGCCAGAGGGGACAGGGGTACACAATAGGGGTGAGGGAAGGGAAGGGAGACAAACTTTATTCTGTTTACAGAAAGATTTGCTTTTTAAAAACAAATGGTTGATTTTTCTCCCCCACCCCTTATCCTCACCCCAACAGTTCTATTCTGAAAAGGAGGGAAACATAGTTAGATCAGGGAACTCTTCATTGTTGTAGCTGTTGCTCTGGTCCCCCAACATGGACAGCATCTCCTAGTATGAGAGAAGAATAACAGGGTCACACACCTGGATCCTTTCCACCTGCAGAGCTGCGGCTCAACACCGCCCTGCGCCTCCCCCGCCCCAGTGTGCCTGTGGCTGGGCTCTTAGCCTTCTTTCCTTTCAGTCACTCTGACTCCTTCAGAGGACAGTTGTTTTTCCTAGCGCCTTCTCCTATAAGCCCACCTTTCCTCTATCTCCTGGTCCTCGATATTTCCAAACAAGGAGGAATCTGCTTGCCGCAGCTCATGTGCCCCACCCCCCACACACGGGCACAGCTGTCCTCCTATTCGTTTTCCATCAAAACCCGTTTAGCCGTCATTCAGTGTTTAAACTTAGCTCTTCCTTTATCCTTCCTGAGATGACTCCATCTACCCCTGCACACCCCCCGTCCCCCCACCCCCCTCCCCGCTATGTAAACAGCCTATAATCAGGGTCATTGCACCCAACTGACTTTGAGGTGGGGATGTGGGTCCCCTGGAGTAGACTACAATCACCTTTTCTATCATCTTTGCAAGGCTCTTCATGTCTTCACCGATGGTCTGGTTAAAGCATACCAAGCTCACACTTAGTCAGCAATCTTCCAAGCAATGGTGTGCACCCTCACATGTTCCCACTGCCTTTCCCCCCACAGGCCCAATCACGGACTTCAGTCCACATATTCATCCTTCTCTGTCTCTCCTCCCTGACCCTCTCTACTCCAGTTTCTGATTTCCTGAAGCCTTTTCTCACCCTTACCTGGAAGACCTCAGGTTGGCCGGGCTGCTGTGCTGATGGCTGTTGAACATGTTGCTCATTAGAACCTGAGCGATGATGAGGCTGCTGGCTCTGCCACTGAGGCCAGACACCTACACCCTCTGCTGTCCGTGTCTGGAACTGTCCTGCAGTCTGTCCAGCCTCAGGAGCTAGAAATAAGGCAAAGAAGAATAAATAACTTCAATCTACTAACTGCAGTGCAGAGGAGAAGTTAGCACATAACAACATGCAAGTCGTTAATTCTGCCTAGAGGCCTGCTATCCTTTTCTCTCAATTAATGCCTTTTTTATTTCAAAAGCCAGTCCCAAATTAATTTTTTCTGCTCTGGGTAGCCTTTCTAAAGAGTCCTTTGCTCATTTAAATGAAATGTGCATATTGTACAACTTATAATACTTTCCATGCTTCTTATGATATGTGGTTGCCTTTTTCATGTGGGTAGGTTTAAAATCCCAAATGGACTGTCACCTTCCATTTCCCAATAATTAGGTCAGTGCAACCATTTGAGCTACCAAATTCTTTCTCTTTAGTGGTGTGAGCTTCCTGTTTCCCTTCTTCTGGGTCTGAACTCACCAAAGCTGGAGCCACGGCTGGTGAGACCAGGGTAGGCAGCAGTGCCAGGAGATGCAGCAGAAGCACCAGGGAGGGACATGGGACTGAAAGAGGATGGAGTCTGAAAGTTGCCAACGCCGAACTGGGAAGAACGAGTCTTGGCTGTCACTTGGGCAGCCACCTGCTAAGAGGGGAAGGGACGAAGAACAACAAATGGAACATTAACACCGTGGCACGCACACAGTGAGCATCACCCCTGTTAGTCACCGGCTTCTGTGAGCCAAGATGGTTACTTCTTTCCAACTGTATATTCTTCCAATGAACTCCCCACCTCCCCTGACACTATTTCCAGGCAGCCGTGATAGGGTGCAAAAGGCAAAGAACTGGGCCTCCCCAGTGGCACAGCGGTTGAGCGCTGGGTTGCAAGGCTGCCTACAGCCTTTGCAGCACCAGTTCGATCCCCGGCTGCTCCCCGGCCACTGGAGGAGGGTCCCACATGGCGCGCAGACCTCTCCTGCTGCCCGCTGCTCCCCTCAGCAGTGTACTTCGGTCCTTCTGCCTGCTCTGCTCCCCGCTCTGGCTCTGGTGAATTCTCTCACCCTCCTGCGCTTCTGGCTGTGCCCAGTGCTTGTATAGATAAATGAATAAATAAATCTTTAAAAAAAAAAAGGCAAAGAACTATGGGATTAATAAAAGTATACATTCAGAGTTATGAGAATTAAGCGAAAAATTACTGAAAGTATTCTATAAACTGTAATGTTATATAAAAACTAAAGGCGTTAATAACAATATGGTGTGATACAGAGAGAAAAAAACTGCGTAATTTCAAAATTCAGTCTGCGCTGATATCTTTCTTTTTGTAACGAAACATTTTTCTCACATTATTAGTAACCCATATGCACTGTTAAACATTTGGAAAGTGAAGGAAAATGAAAAAGAATCACTTGTAATTCTACCACAAAGACCCACGGTTAATATATATATATATATTTTTTTTTAAGATAATGAATTTTTTTTAAAGATTTATTTATTTATTTATGCAAGCACTGGGTACAGTCAGAAGTGCGGGAGGGTGAGAGAATTCACCAGAGCCAGAGCGGGGAACTTAGCAGGCAGAAGGACCGAAGTACACTGCTGAGGGGAGCAGCGGGCGGCAGGAAAGGTCTGAGAGCCATGTGGGCCCCTCCTCCAGTGGCCGGGGAGCAGCTGGGCATCAAACAGGCGCTGCAGAAGCTGCTGGCAGCTTCGCAACCCAGCGCTCAACCGCTGCGCCACCAGGGAGGCCCGGTTAATATTTTTTTTAATAATTTCTTCTAGCTTTTATTTCCCAAGCTTTTTTAAAAAAATACAATTGAGATCATACTGCATGTAATAATTCTGGAACCAGCTTTGGGTTTTAGCTTTTTTTAAACTATTACTTAATGTAATATTAGTACATGTTAATGCAAGAAAAATAACTTGCTTTAGGCTTAACATATTCTGTATCATACACACACATACATTATACAGGATTTTTCAACACATTGTTTTAAATAGACATCACTGTGTATAATTTAGCAATTAATTTTCCCCTTTGTTCCTGTATTATATATTCCTAACCAAAAGAGAGACTTCTTACAATTTATTCCCAAAGCTGATCTGAAAATCAAACCTGTTCAAGATGTTCTATCTGAGCAAAGACGATCTAAAGTGCATATGGAAAACCATGTGCTGAGATTTTGGATTATTTGTGGCTTTGAGTTATCCAACTGCTCTTAAAACATAAAAAAAAGCAGCAGCAAGAGAATGGGTGAGAGGACAGGTGTATTCAGATCAACAGTAATTTTTCACATGGAAAAAAGCTGAACCAACCAAACAAAAACAGCACCCCAACGAAAGACAGAGACGAGGAGTTTTACCTGGGCAGAGAAACCTGGGCGGGTGCTAGGAGTCCAAGTTGGGGCTGCTCCCTGGGTGGGGTTGGAGTGGCGGGAAATCTGGGCCAACATCTGCCCCGCTGAGGCTGACGGTTGGACGATGGTTACAGGAGGGGCCAGATTACTATTTCTAGGAGGGAAGAGACAGAGAGGGAAAGAATTACGAGGATGGCTTTCATGCTGGATTCTAGGAACCACAGGACAATCTGGTGAGATCCCTAGATTCTCTTGACTTCCCTTGGATTAAGGAAAACTTGGTAACAACTTGGAAAAGACAGAAAGACTGACAGTCACACACTGATCAGGACACATAGGAATGGAACCTAGACCATAGCAGTAAGACAGGTGCAAAGAAACAGGAGAGGAAAAGCAGCTTGTCCCATCCTAGGTCCTACAAGTTCTCTGCTTTGTCTGAAATAACCAGAGAAAGCTAGGGAAGAATGAAACTTGGATACAGCAAGCGAATCCCTCAGTCGCCCTGTAAAGCAGCACACACATATGGGGCTCACCTGAAATTCTCTGCCAGCCGGGGGGTAGGAGGGAATGTGGTGCCCTGGGAGAATAGCTGTTGGGTGGCAGGGACAGTGCTGGAGGAGATGCCTTTACTCTGATCTGTGGACCAAAAGGAGTGGGGGGAGGGCCAGTCAAGGGGCTGTAGTATAGTAGTTCAGCAAGTTCCTATTTACTCATGAGGGATAATGATTAAGTGGAAATATGTTGGGAGACTACTGACCAGGCAGTAGCAGGCCAATCAGTAAGTGATCTAAATGAGAACTTCAAAAGAGAATGAGGAAGAGCCATACCTGCATTAATACTGGAGTAGATTTCTGAAAATCGTGGCTCTCTATCCTGAGCAAAAAGACCATCTCCCTTCTCCAGGGGCTTATTGTGTTCCGGCCCTGTGGTTGTTACAGGCTGAACAGAAACCTGTAGTGCACGATGATAAAAATAAACATGAAAAGTTTAACATGATATTCAATCACCCAAAACGCACAGAAAGATGCATACATATAAAGTACACACATACAATCTAACCGGCACTGCGGGACATTTCCTATGGAAATGCTTCTCTTCTTCAAAGAAGCCACACTAACCTGGGAATGACTGTAGCTGGCCAGTGCTTCTCTTCCTGTTACCACATCCAACTCTGTCTGCTGTTGCTGCTGCCTATATTTTGAAGGCCAGTGAAGAAACAAAGAGGAAAAGCAAATTTTTAAAAAAGAATCTGGGGAAAGGGCTTAAAAAAATTAACAAATAAGATGGCCACTTCCCCAGGCTAGTCATTGCTCAATAAATGATCTTGCCATCATTTCTCACCTGGGTGCAAGCTGTCCTGAGGCCATCTCCAAGGGTAAGTTAGATGGGGGACCCAGCTGTGGTCTCTGAATTGTGCTGGACAGTGTAGGCCGTGGTTCCTGGCTGGAGTTCCTGAAGAAATGGAGAGCAGACAGAACAGAGTAAAAAAAAAAATCTAAAGTGCCTGTGTGAACATCAGCCCCTACAGATTAACCTGCAGACGGGACAGGTCTCCTGTCCCTTGTAGGTTCAGCCCTGTAGGTGACCTATGACTTCAGAGTCAGCAAATCACTGTAAAATGCACAATATGTTACAAATAGAGGGCCTCCCAGGTGGCGCAGCGGTTGAGCGCTGGGTTGCGAAGCTGCCCCGCAGCCTCTGCAGCGCGGGTTTGATCCCCGGCTGCTCCCCGGCCACCGGAGGAGGGTCCCACATGGCGCGCAGACCTCTCCTGCCGCCCGCTGCTCCCCTCAGCAGTGTACTTCAGTGCTTCTGCCTGCTCTGCTCCCCGCTCTGGCTCTGGTGAATTCTCTCACCCTCCCGTGCTTCTGACTGTACCCGGTGCTTGTATAAATAAATCTTAAAAAAAAAAAAAAAAAAACTATGTCCTATGGTGCGAGGGTTCTGACTGCACCTGGATATTTAAGACCGAGTTGCTGAAGATGTAATGTATGCATGCTTATCCACAGAATGAATTTAAAAAAGTATCAGTAAAAAACTGAAAGTACATCAAACGAAACAGCAACAAAGACTATTTCTGAATAGCGAGAATTTTTTTCCTTCTCTCGCTAGTTTTCAAAATATCTTCCAAATTTTCAATAAATATTTAAAAATTAAAGGGATTAAGAATTAAAGTTAGGGACTCCCCAGTGACGCAGCGGTTGAGCGCTGGGTTGCAAAGCTGCCCGCGGCCTCTGCGGCGCCAGTTCGATCCCCGGCTGCTCCCCGGCCACTGGAGGAGGGTCCCACATGGCGCGCAGACCTCTCCTGCCGCCCGCTGCTCCCCTCAGCAGTGTACTTCGGTCCTTCTGCCTGCTCTGCTCCCTGCTCTGGCTCTGGTGAATTCTCTCACCCTCCCGCGCTTCTGACTGTACCCAGTGCATGTATAAACAAACAAACAAATAAATAAAAACATGCCTCTATAAAAAAAAAAAGAATTAAAGTTAATTATCATGGGAAAAACTATATAAAAATGGGTAATAATTATTTCCAGATCTTCATAATAAGTTATTTCCAGTCCTTAAAAGGACTGTGTTCTGTAAATGGGACCACAAAGCCTGGGTAACAGTGTATCTATTTCCAATATGGTTCACTGACCAGTCATGGCTGTGGTTGAGACCCAGTGCATAGGAAAAAAGATTTTTTCCAAAATATCACTACTTATTGACAGTACACCTGGTCAACCAAGAGTTCTGATGGAGATAAATAAGGTTAATAAATAAGGAAGTTTAATACTTTCATGCCTGCAACTACAACATCTATTCTGCAGCCCAGGGCTCAAGGAGTAATTACAACTTTTAAGTCTTAGTAAGAAATACAGTTCATAAATCTATAGATGGGGATTCCACTGATGGATATGGGAATAGGAAGCTGAAAACCTTTTGGAAAGGCTTCACCATCCTGGGAGCCATTAAGAGCACTTATGATGGAAGGTCGAAATAGCGACACTAACAGCAGTTTGGAAGAAGCTGACTGCAGACTACTTTAGGGACTGGAGACGTCAGTGGAGGAAGTAACTGCAGATGTGGTGAAAACAAGAGAACAAGGATTAGAAGTAGATTCTGAGGCTGTGACAGAACTACTGCAATCCATGATAAAATGTAAAGAATGCGGATTGCTTAGTTGTTTCTTGAGACAGAATGTACTCCAGCAAAGATGTCGGGAACACTGTTGAAAGGACAATAAAGGATTCAGAATATAATATGAACTCAGCTGACAAAACAGTGGCAGGTTTGAGAGGATTGACTCCAATTTTCAAAGAAGTTCTACTGCGGGGAAATGCTACCAAACAGCATGGCAAGCCACAGAGAACTTTTCTGTGAAGGGAAGAGTTAAAGAACACAGTAAATTTCATTGTTGTCCTATTTTAAGAAATTGCAAAAAAAAAAAAAAAAGGGAAAAGGAATTGACACAGCCAACCAGTCTTCCTTGACAACACCCTGTCAGTCACCAGTTTTCAACATCAAGACCCTCCATAGGCAAAAAGATCACAATTCAGTGATGCTTAGCAATAAAGTGTTTTAAAATTAAGGTATAGGGGGCCTCCCCGGTGGCGCAGCGGTTGAGCGCTGGGTTGCGATGCTGCCCGCAGCCTCTGCAGCGCGGGTTCGATCCCCGGCTGCTCCCCGGCCACCGGAGGAGGGTCCCACATGGCCCGCAGACCTCTCCTGCCCCCCGCTGCTCCCCCAGCAGTGTACTTCAGTCCTTCTTCTGCCTGCTCTGCTCCCCGCTCTGGCTCTGGTGAATTCTCTCACCCTCCGTGCTTCTGACTGTACCCAGTGCTTGTATAAATAAATAAAAATAAATCTTTAAAAATAATAATAATAAAATAAAATAAAGGTAAACATTGGGCCTCCCTGGTGGCGCAGCGGTTGAGTGCTGGATTGTAAAGCTGCCCTCAGCCTCTGCAGTGCTGGTTCGATCCCTGGCTGCTCCCCGGCCACCGGAGGAGGGTCCCACATGGCGCGCAGACCTCTCCTGCCGCCCGCTGCTCCCCTCAGCAGTGTCCTTCGGTCCTTCTGCCTGCTCTGCTCCCACCTCTGGCTCTGGTGAATTCTCTCGCCCTCCGTGCTTCTGACTGTACCCAGTGCTTGTATAAATAAATAAATTAATAAAAAAAAAAAGAAAAGAAACTAGACTCTTAAAAAAAAAAATTAAAGTATACAAACTATTTTTTTAGACATAATGCTATCACTGCACAATTAAGACTGCAGTATGGTGTAAATATAACTTGTATATATGCATTTAGAAATCAAAAAAATCCATTTGACTCCTGTTTTACTGTGGCTATCTATTGCTTAGAACTGAATCCACAATGTCTCTAAGATGTCTACAGTTGTAATAGACACCAGATGCTCCACAAAACAAAAATATTTACTATGAGACCTTTTACAGAAAGAGCTGGCAGACACCTGCTCCACAGGAAAGCAAGGCTAAAGCAATAAATTGCTGAATAAAACAATTCTTTCCATAAAGAGCTGAAACAAAAAATTGAAATACAAACCCTTCACATCTCAGAAGCTAGTCCCTAAACTACTGTTTGTTAAAATCTTATTTTACTTGGATGAACTATGCCGAATTCTGTAAGCTGAAAGATGGGGAGTGTCAAACTAGTTGGTGTTTAAAAGTAGAAAAGAATGGGCCTCCCCTGGTGGTGCAGCGGTTAAGCGCTGGGCTGTGAAGCTGCCCACAGCCTCTGCAGTGCCAGTTAGATCCCCGGCCACTGGCGAGGGTCCCACATGGCGCACAGACCTCTCCTGCCATGCCCACTGCTCCCCTCAGCAGTGTATTTTGTCAGTCTGCCTGTTCTGTTCCCCGCTCTGGCTCTGGTGAATTCTCTCACCCTCCTGCACTTCTGACTGTACCCAGTGATTGTATAAATAAATCTTTAAAAAAAAAAAAAAAAGTAGAAAAGAATGAAGTAACTTGCTAGGGCTAAGCAGACTTGACCCACAAGAGGCCCCAACACTGGAAAGGTTTCTATGGCACATACTTCACATTGGTGTTGGTACAGATGATGTACTCAATTTCATCCGAGTAAGGGTTTTGGAAAGTAAAGGAGCTGGTTCTCGTCCACAGCCATTCTCGGTTCTTGGACCGGAACCGGAACATGACAGACAGCACCTGGCCTTTTAACTTCACCACCTAGAAAAGTTTTCATTCTATCAGTGAAACCCACAAAACATTTTAAAAAGATTCCCATTTCTACTACCCAAAGTCTTGTGTCACTGTCCATGAAGTACCAGTCTCTTTCAATGTTACTACAAGAGAGAAATGTCAGTTACTAAACAGATATATTTATCATATTTCTTCTCAGAGTCCCAAGCTATTGGACCACAAGTCAAAATCAAATAGGAGTAATAACTATTTCCAAGACAGGAAAGACTATATTTTCCCATTTGTTCTGGAAAAGCCCTTAAAATTATGCTGATCTGCCATTATAAGTCTATGCTAAAAATTTTTATTTTTATTTTTTTTTAAATAATAAATTTTATTTTTATATTCTCCATACAATTGCAACCCCCCCATCCTGAACCCAATCCCTCCCCTCCCGCCCCTCACCCCCCAAAAAGTGTCTCTGGTTCATAGTTTTTTGTTGATTTTGATTTTCACTTTCTTATAGTTATTCATTTTCCTGGTCCCTTATTTAAGTTTTCTAGATTCCTGCTATGAGTGAGACCATCCGGTATTTTTCTTTTTCTTTTTGGCTTATTTCGCTGAGCATGATCCCTTCCAGCGCCATCCATGTTGCTGCAAATTGCATGTGTTTATCTTTTTTGAATGCTGAGTAATATTCCATGGTATATATGTACCACATCTTCTTAATCCAGTCATCTATTTTTGGGCATTTGGGCTGTTTCCAAAGCTTAGCTATTGTCAATAGTGCTGCTATAAACATAGGGGTGCAGGTGTTCTTTGGAATTGGTTTCTGTGTCCTTTGGGTAAATACCTAGGAGTGGAATTGCTGGATCATATGGAAGCTCTATGTTTAGTAGGTCCAGAAATCTCCACACAGCTCTCCATAGTGGTTGGACCAGTTTGCACTCCCACCAACAGTGCAGGAGAGTTCCTTTTTCTCCACACCCTCGCCAACACTTGTTGTTGCTAGTTTTTTTAATATGTGCTATTCTCACTGGTGTAAGATGGTATCTCATGGTAGTTTTGATTTGCATTTCCCTGATGACAAGTGATGTTGAACATTTTTTCATATGCCTGTTGGCCATTTGCATTTCCTCTTCAGAGAAGTTTCTTTTTTATGCTAAAAATTTTTAATTTAATTTTTATTTTATTTTTTAAAAGATGTATTTATTTATTTATTTATTTATACAAGCACTGGGTACAGTCAGAAGCACAGGAGGGTGAGAGGATTCACCAGAGCCAGAGCGGGGAACAGAACAGGCAGACTGATGAAGTACACTGCTGAGGCGAGCAGCAGGTGCGGCAGGAGAGGTCTGTCACGCCATGTGGGACCCTCACCCACGGCCGGGGATCGAACCGGCGCTGCAGAGGCTGCGGGCAGCTTCGCAGCCCAGCACTCAACCGCTGCGCCACCAGGGGAGACCCTAAAATTTTTTAATTTTAAAGATAAGTTTACATATTGCTCTTTCAGTTCCCCTCACACCCTTGAAGGTGTCTAAGCTGGCCTTACCTTAATGTGCTTTTAAAAAGAAAGTAATTTTAGTTTCTAGTCTCATAAAAAAATCATCTTTCAGGGCCTCCCTGGTGGTGCAAGAGGTTAAGACGCAACCTATGAAGCTGTCCACGGCCTCCGCAGCGTGGGTTTGATCCCCGCCAGCCAAAGAGTATTCCACATGGCGAAGCCGACCTCTCCTGTCTCACCCGCTGCTCTCCTCAGCAGTGTATTTCAGTCAGTTTGCCTATTCTGTTCCCCACTCTGTCTCTGGTGAATCCTCTCACCCCCACACCTCTGGCATGTACCCCAGTTCTTGTATACATAAATAAATAATTCTTTAAAAAAATAATAATCGGGGCCTCCCCGGTGGCGCAGCAGTTGAGCGCTGGGTTGCGAAGCTGCCCGCGGCCTCTGCGGCGCCGGTTCGATCCCCGGCTACTCCCCGGCCACCAGAGGAGGGTCCCACATGGCACGCAGACCTCTCCTGCAGCCCGCTGCTCCCCTCAGCAGTGTACTTCGGTCCTTCTGCCTGCTCTGCTCCCCGCTCTGGCTCTGGTGAATTCTCTCACCCTCCCGCGCTTCTGACTGTACCCAGTGTGTGTATAAACAAAAACAAACAAACAAACAAACAAATAAAAACATGCCTCTATTAAAAAAAAAAATTCTTTTAAAAAAAAAAATAATACTCTTTCAACTTGCCATCCCTCATAAAAAATATGAGCGACCGACATTTACATCATAGTTACCCTGTGTTGAGCATGGGCTGTGTGCCTTTCCTTTTTCTTTTTTTAAGAATATCAACATATATTAAACAGTTTAAAAAATGATATATGAACATGTGCCTTTGAAACAGTAGTAAGCTGTCTTAAGCCTTTAATACTTACGATGATATATACACAAAAAACCATGATTGCATTTGTATACAAACTGGATTTGAAAACCTGTTTACTGGTGTATATTATCCATTCAAATGAAACATGAGCCCAGTACTTCAAAATATTTATGTTTTAAATTTTTTTAAGAGTTAAACATTTGTGTTTAAGCTGACAAGTATGTGGCAATAATGCTGATGTTACAATCTGAGAAATAATTATAAGGGAAATGGGACATACTTCACTTAGCAATAATAAAAGGGCACATTGTAAATATATACACCTATACCGTGTGTGACATGTGCGTATGCGTGTGTGTAAAGCCTTTAGAAATCAAGAGTGGAAATGAAGCATTGCAGTAACCAAATGGGAAGAAAAAAAATAAATTGAACAGAGCTTTTCTGAAACCTGCATACTGGAACCACATTGCAAATATGCTTTATTTCCAAGCTGCATGTAAATAATAACTAGATTTTTGTACTTAGAGCCAAAAGAAAAAATAAGAAGAGCCAAATAAAGAGTAAATTCACCTAGACATAAGAAACATCAAAATGTGGAAATCAACAACTAAATAAGCAGCTGTGACCACACCTTAAAAAGCACATTGGCTTATATACTCAAATACATAGCAGTAGCTGAAGCTTGAAAAACTTTGAGGTATATATGGGCCACACAAACTATTTTGCAATAAACATTTTCCTGAAGTGTTAAAATGCTACATGCTGTTGGCCCAAAGCATCACAATTATAAATTTCATGGACTGAAGATATACTATACGATAATTTCACAGGCTGTCAAAAGTCCATATTCTCAGCTTTGAATGGTTTCATAAAAATCAGAACCCTCTTCCTGAGATTGCACAGATAGGTATGGTGATCCCTCTGTGAGCTACAGCTAAGAGGATACACTGGTGATGCAGAAGACTCAGGACTCACAGACTTTTCTGCTACTGTCTGCTTCCCTTTAAAAGATGGGTTATGTACCTTAAATGCATTATCTGATTTATTAATTTTTGCTACAGCCCTCTAAATTTAAGTACTGTTGTTATACCACTAGATCACAAGGACACCACTGAGCTTTAAAAAGGGAAAGTAAGTAGTAAAAACTACTACTTAAAACCAAGTCTGTCCAGAAATCAAATATACTAGATATTTTCAGAAGCTAGGGCCCGAAAATTAAGTTAAAAGTCACCTTATAAATGAGAGTCAACTCTCAATTATAAAAGAACTCTGTAAAAAGAATTTTTCTACTATTATCCACTGGTCAGTGAGGCCTACCATGTTTTAAGTAGTTCAGGACAGCCAGTTAGATACAAGACTGAATAGTGAAAGCTAAACAAAAATACTCTGGACATTATCTGTAGTTTCAAAGTATTGGTCCTTTTCTGTTCTTTAAAAACACAGATTAAAATGCACAACTTTAATGACTGCCACAGCAACATAAGTTTCTATAATGAATGTTGTAATAGGTAAAAATATTATTCAAACCCAACCAAGGAAAAAAGTCACCTGTTGGAAGCTGTCTCTTAGAAGCTGCTGGTCTTCAGGATGGCAGAATTCTACAATATTCTTTCCTAAAAGTTCCTATTAGGAAAAAGTAGGGTAGAGTCAGCACTTTTATGATCATCGAACTTTCTAGGCCCATCACAAGGGACTTGGATTTTATTTCTCCTGCCTTTTTCCTAAGATTATCAGTAAATGTGGAAAAAGAAAAAAGAAGAGATGGAATCTGCTAAGCAACTTATCTCCCAGCATTTTCCTTTTTTAAAGACACTATGTACCTATTTGACTGCATTTTTTTTTCACAGATTTCACTCATTTTAAGTATCAAACTTGATGTGCCTTTCAAATCTCGTGTAATTTTTTTTTACTATTTGTCTTAATGAGCTGTAAGAGTTCTTTATATATTCTAGATACAAATCCTTTTTCAGATACATGATTTGCAAATTTTGTGGCTGGTCTTTTCACCTTCTTAGGACTGTCCTCTGGGCAAATTTCGATTTTGATGAAATCTAATTTAATAATTATTTTCTTTTATGAATTATGCTTGGCTTCACAATTCATATTTTTCTAGATGGGATGACAACATTGGTAGGAAGCCAAAAATAAATTTAGCTACAAATAGAATAGGATCATCTTTTTTTCTTTTCTGAGTTGGGGCCTATATGTTTTGGCTAGCTTTGGAATTATGTGACTGCAAAACCTCACATAGCCAAGGGAAAACAGAGGCCTACTATCAGTGGCGAAAGAGCTCCAGCTCCTCACCTGTGGCTGGTAGCCAACAGTGGCCACACAGCGGTGATCCACGAAAGTGAAGAGTCCCTCTATGTTGTGTCGAGAGATGAACTCTGTTGGTTGGCAAACATTACTCATGTCTGTGCAGTTAGGAGAACTAGTTACCTAGAAGCAAGGAGATAAAAGTGAGATAAACTAACAGCATTCTTTACAAATGGCTTTCCCCAGCTCCCATGGCCACTTACATATAAACTTGACTATCCCAGTTTTAGAAGTTTTTAGATTTTCACTTATCATTCAGAAAAAAATAACAATCACAATCAGAAAGGGCATGAGTATAGCAACACTAGCACACAAGTGCTTTACCAATTTTTTGGGGGAAAAAAAAAAAGATAAAAATTCATTCAACCGCAAAAAAAAAAAAATTCATTCCACCTCAATCCCATCTGTCTTCACTTGGTTAGGTTGTGTTCATCGTTCAGACTGGAAAATGACAGCCCCAAGTAGTCAAGAAACTTAACTCATGAAAAGAATCAAAATTAGCTTCACTTCTCTATTGTGAGTTATATAATGATAAAATTAAAAAGATCTCTCTTCTTTTGTAAAAGAGCAAATGAGTTAGTTAGAAACAGAAAATTCTGCACTGTAAAGCTCTGAACTGTGAATAAGTGAAAAAGACCCCCCTCCCTCCTTCAACATCTTAAACTCCTATATCCCTGAGAGAAACAATGTCAGCTATGAATGTCATATTCCTCCAACTTTTTGGTTTTATAAAATTCTTCATTTGTACTCAGAGAGTAAAAGAAAAATAACATGAATAAATTCTAAAGGAGATTTTCTTCTTAACAGTAAAGGAATAATACTGGAAAATTCATACTTGCCTGCAGCCTACCAATGGCTACTAGGCAGAACTTGCTCCCCTGGCCAGCCTCTGGGTCATCATCTGGGAGGGAGACACCTTGAGGAAGGTAAAGGTGAAAGTGTAACACAATCAAAACACCTTCAAAATTCAGATAGGAAAAGATTTAAATTACACTAGGTGAGAGCCTCCCCTGGTGGCGCAGCAGTTGAGCGCTGGGCTGCTAAGCTGCCTGCAGCCTCTGCAGCGCCGGTTCGATCCCCCACCACCAGCGAGGGTTCCACATGGCACGCAGACCTCTCCTGCCGCGCCCGCTGCTCCCCTCAGCAGTGTATTTCGTCGGTCTGCCTGTTCTGTTCCCCGCTCTGGATCTGGTGAATTCTCTCACCCTCCCGCGCTTCTGACTGTACCCAGTGCTTGTATAAATTAATTAATTAAAAAAAAAATACACCAGGCTAGATACTTCTCTTACATTCAATCTAATCTTCACAATAACTATATGGAATATATTATTTCCAAATATAGGTGAGAAAACAGGTATTTTATGAATCAAGCAACTTCCCTTAGGTTAAAAACTTAGTAAATAACAATGCCAGGACAAACCCGGGTTTTTCCAAATCCAATGTGTAATCTCTTACCAAAATATACCGCCTTGCCTCTCTCTTCTCTTCGTTTTTGTCTCCCTACAACACCCACTTCTCAATCATACCCAGCCGGCACAGAATAAAGTTGCTAACACTGTAAATTCTGACAAGTCAGTTTAAAAAAGCTGATCCTTGCCCCCAGTCACCTTTCTCAACATCCATTTTGATTTCAAATTCCAGTAAAGCTAAACTGCTCATATCCTAATTTAAAACCTTTATAGAGAATACTCGTTTATAAATTGCCACAATCAAGACATTTCCCCCGTCTCCCTCAAATTCTTTAGAAAGATTTCCTAAATTAACTGCATTCAATGCCAACTGCTTGGCACACAAATACTTGGGACACAGGTATTCAATATACACTAATAAGAATTTTCACATTTATAAGCTACCTTCTGTGATAAGAGTCCATACTGAGTCATTTTAAAGTCTGAGTAACCTATCTCCCCAACTGGAAAGTCATCGCCTCTGTAAAGAGGAGTTGTCTTTGTCTTCCTATTTTCTTAGTTTATACCAAAGTACTTTTCACATACAAGGTACATAAGAAATGTCAGCTCGCTGTCTTAGACTGTAAGGAAGCTGCTGCACCAAGGTTTAAGAGTCACCACTCAGTGGCCCCACCTGCTGGAGGCCAGGCCTTGATGTAGCCTGTGCAGTGCACCACCACGAAGTGAGGTTCCCCATCCTTCACAGAGCCGAGTCCGTTTCTAGAAGAATTACAGGTGTGAGAAGAAAAACCATACCCAGTAACACTTAAAGGGCAATTCTGTCTTCCCATCTTTAACTTGAGACTCTTGGACGCTGGAAAAGAGGGTAATTGATACTTGGGCCTTTCCCACCTAAAGCGGCCACCCTGGTTTTGACCCTTACCAAAGTAAAACAAATGAAAGGCACTCAGCAAGGTGAGAATAGGTAAAGTGTAGGTAGAGAGAGGACTAGGGTAACGTCTTTGAACAGGATGCACAAAAGCAGCTTTATTAGTTGAGGAAAGTATTGCCAGAAAAAAGAGGCAACCAGGAGGTAGAGGATGAGCGTGAAGGCTGCTGAGGGAAGTATTACAGTAAGATAGCTGAGAGTGGTGATCTCTAGCAGTACTTGGCCAGCCATTTGGTGTTTTGCTGCTTAAGCTCTCACCTGCATCTGTTCCTCACGAAGCTCAATCTGCTCATGGAGACTGGGTCCACAGAATTACTGCCGCACCTGTTTCAAGGAACACAGCAATTAAAAGCAATTAAGCTGCACGTCAGAGAACTTTCCATCCACTAATAGCCAGATAATAGGTTCTGGATACAACTAGACACGGAAAATTGGTAACAACACTCTTAACAAAGGATAGAGAAGTTACATTCAGTATTTCTAAAACCTATTATATGTTTAGAATTAGAAACCAAGATGTTCCATGTGCTTTTCAAATGCAGAGATTCTCTATGCCAGGGAGCCAGTAGGCTCTGTCTGTAAACCACCAGACGGTAAATACCCCAGCTCTGTGCGGCACACAAACTGTTGCAAGCGGTTAACTCTACAATGACTGCAATAAAACAGCCTCAGATGCTCTGGGAACAAGTGAGCACAGCTGTACTCCCCATCAAGCCAAGAGACACGGTTTGTGGGCTCCAGCTCTATCCCCCACATTTCACTATCTTGCTCTGCCTCTGTCTTGGCATCAGTGTGTCCACACACGGTGCTCCCACCCAACCACTCCACTTCTTCTCTCATTTCTTTACAATAACAGATAAAGCAGGGAAGTTAATGTGTGCTGTACACTAGATAAAGGCTCTTTACATGCATCTATTCTTCTAATCCTCAAAATAACTTTATGAGGTTGATGTTACTATAAACCCCCCTCATTAGATAATGAAATCAAAACACAAAGTAGTCATTGAATGTGCTAAAGGTCTCAGAAGATAGTATGAGGCAAAGCCAGTCTTCCGGGTCCAGAAGCTGCTCTAAAGCACTAAACTACATAGTATTCAATGTTGCTATTCTCCCAGGAAACCTCTACTAACACCCTACTAGTGGACTCTACTAAGAATCCTCAGTACAATGTAGTCAATTTCCATTAAACAACCTGATCTTACGGGGTTGTCAGAAAAGTCATGACATAATTTTTACATTTTTCTTTTTTTTTTTAAAGATTTATTTATTTATGCATACAAGAGCAGGGGTACAGGCCAGAGATTTGGGGGGGCGTTGTGAGAGGATAGACAGAGTGGGGAACAGAACAGGCAGATCGACTGAAGTACACTTGCTGAGGGGAGAAGCAGGCAAGTCAGGAGAGGTCTGCTGCACTATGTGGGTTTCTCCCTGACCGGCTGGGGATCAAACTCGAGCTGCAGAGGTTGCAGACAGCTTCGCAGGCTGTGTCTTAACCTCTTGCGCTTACCAGGGAGGCCCCCTAATTTTTCTGTTTTTCAAGAAATGCCTTATGACTTTTACGACAACCCAACATTATGTGACTTTAAAATGTGTTTTTTCTACCTGTATAGAAAATACCACTGTCCTTTCTGTAGAATCCTAAAATGTACAGTATATAACTTATAAACACTGAATACTGGGCCTCCCTTGGTGGCTCAGGCAGTTGAGCACAGCACTGTGAAGCAGAGCCTCTGCAGCACTGGTTCAATCCTGGCCAGCCAGCGAGGATCCCACATGGCGTGGCAGACCTCTCCTATCGCGCCTGCAGCTCCCCTCAGCAGTGTATTTCGTCAGTCTGCCTGTTCTGCTCCCCACTCTGTCTCTGGTGAATCCTCTCACCCTCCTGCGAATCTGGCCTGTACCCCAGTTCTTGTATAGATAAATACATCTTAAAAAAAAATAAAAATAAACACTGAACACTATCTGAAAAATACAAGAAAATCTCAAATTTCTACCCCCAAAATGCAGAAATGGTCAGAATATATGGATGTGATCTCAGGACGTACTGGGAAAAAAATAGGTTTTGGAATCTGGTTATGGATTAAACTAAACTCCTGTATCAGACATTATCTATGTCTAGGAAGTGAATTTCTTTGAATCTGTTTTTTTTAATCAAAAATAGTAACCATGAATTCTATCCTTTAAGAGCAGGTGGGAACTGAGCTGACATACACATAGTGCCTGGTACGGAAAAGCTCCCTTGTCAAACACAAGTCAGTGTGACAACCCATGTGGGACTTAAATTTAATCCAACTTTATGATGTTGGATTTTAGTTTAACTCAAACCTCCGGTTCTCAATTTTTCTAATTCAAATCACTCACCTCATTCGGCAAATAAATGACCTCCTTGAGCCCATACACATCCTCATGGAAGACTGCTGACCTTCCTTCTTCACAGTTCCAGTCTTCAGGTCAAGGATACGCCCTGGAAAAGGTTGTGAAGAGCTGGAGTATGTTATTGTGTCCAGGGAAGAGAAGGAGAGACACTGGAGGCAAAGAAAATATTCATGTCCTCCCATCTCTTTGCTTATAACAGAATAGGCCAAGGAGACAGATATTTTGAAATTCTGAAATACCTTATTCTCTTCAATGAATCTCACCCTTAAATAAAAAGGCAGCACTGGAAATAACCTTGCACAAGAAATGTAGGAGTGGAAAGTAGAGCTGGCAAGTAGAGACAGTACTGCATCCCAGGGTACTTATGTGCACGCGCGTGCGCGCGCATACACGTGGCACTGGGTTAAAAATAATTTTACATGCTATAGAAAAACACACATATGTTTCAAGCCGAAATTGTTCCTCCTCTTTATTATACAGGAAATAATGGTGAATTTTGGAAAAAGAACTAGAAAATAGAATCTATTAAACATAAAAGAGGGAGAAACTAAATACCAACATTAACCAACATTACTATGACCATAATGAACTTCCTTGCATTTTAATTACCAGTTTTGATCTGTTTCCACTTGTTTCCTTTAGCCAAACTCTGGCAAAAGGACTGAACAGCACTGAAATGGGGATGGTCATGGGGGACGAGAGTAGGGGGTGGGGTGGGGGAAGGAGAAAAACAGAAACAAAAACAAAAAAGCAAACTACAGATACCAAAACCTTATACACTGACTGATAACCACTCCCCTCTGAAATAAGAATCTATTATGAACCTAGCACAAAGCCAAAATTAAACACAAGCAGGTAGAAAAAATACTAGGTAATTATCTACACAAATGAGATAAATAAAGGTCTTTAGAATGGAAAAAAATGTTCAATGTAGGTTTGGCTTTTACTTTTTATAGAGGTGAAGATAAAAGTAAGCTTTTATGTGGGCACTGTCTCTAATGAAACATGCCCTAAGGATAAGCTGTAAGTATATCATCTGCTTGCAGATAAAAAGAACTAATTACATTCATTAGAAAAGAAAATTCTAGAAGCACTGACAGAGTCCATGAACCAATTTAAGAGCTAAAACACCTCATATAGGGCCTCCCTAGCGGCACAGCGGGTTGAGCGCAGCGCTGTGAAGCTGTCTGCAGCCTCTGCAGCACGGGTTCAAGTCCCTGCCAGCCAGGGAGATTCCCACATGGCGTGCTGCTCCCCTCAGCAGTGTGTTTCAGTCTGTCTGCCTGTTCTGCTCCCCACTGTGTCTCTGGTGAATCCTTTCACCCTCCCGCACCTCTGACCTGTACCCCAGCTCTTGTATAAAAATAAATAAATCTTTAAAAGGAAAAGTAAAACACCTCATCTAGCTCAGGATAAAAAAACAAAAAGGAAAATACGTCCTATTTATTTCCTATCCACATAATTCATACCTGTCAGGGCATTTTCTGAAGTAGAAAGCTGCTCACGGAGTTTGTCCACGTCATCTGGGTGCGCCTGGTCATAGAGTGTACTGCCGAACCATTCAGACTGTGGTTGGTTCAAAACCGGGGTCACTGAGTCAGAGACATATACCACCCGGCCTGTCTCACATGAGACAATAAACAGAAAGCCATCTGCTGCCTCTAAGATCAAATGTTTCAGTTCCTGCCAAGAAAAAAAATAAAAGTTAATACTGAATTCTGAAAAACCAAGTATTATTATTATTATTCATAAAAAGACGTATGGCATTACAAGCAATAGGTGTCTCTTCACAAGCAACTGCTGGCTCCTGCCTGGTCCATAGGTTTGTAACCTAAATATAATTAACTTCACTAACAAGGTAATTTATTCCAATAAATATTAACTCAATGTATCTGTGTCTCTATCCACCTATTCCTCTCAATCTCAGAACTCAAGATAGGGAGTAAATAAAAAGGCTTTTACTAACTCCCTCAGGTCTCCTTTAAGAACCTTGCTCTTAAAATATTAATATTTTCCCTCTTTTGCCTCAGGTCTAGAAATACAATCAAGTACATATCTTCCCCAGAATTTACTCAACTTTTTCGCTGTCAAATGTATACTAAGAATAGTCCTTATTAACTCACGCTATTCTCTTGCTTTCATTTATTTCTCAATCCCACAATCTTCACTTAAACCACTGTATTAATGTTTCCCTAACATAGTGTTAATGGTAATTCTCTCATTAACATAACATTAATTAAATTAATAAATTTAGTTAACATGAGCATAATGCGAATGTTACTAATGCCCTCCTAACTACTCATTTAAGACCCGTTTGCTGGTCTGTATCATTTGATTCAACCTCTCAGCTGAATGTGACAATGTGTCCTTCCATCCTTCAAATTTTATTTCCCCGAGCTTGTGTGGCACCATCCCCCAACTTGCGCTTCCTTTTTAAATGTCCCTTCTATGCTTCAGGTTCCCTTTGTTCATGTTTTAAATGTGAGCATTTCGAATCTTCTATCTTAAGTTCTCTAGCTACACCACACTCTATTTTTTTATTTGTTTTTATTGTTACAGTACACCTTACTCTCTTATCAAAAACACCCATGCCACCCACCATGACACAATCCCCCTCTTTACATCCCTGGACTTGCTTCATTTTTTCCCTTGGGTTTTAAGCAGAACAGAATTACAAGTAACAAACATTTTCAAGTAGGTAATCTACCAGCAACTCAATTTCAACTTCTCAAGGGTTGTCACTTCCCCCTCAAAAAAACGATCCTCTGTGCTTTTCTAGCATTTCCTTTCTTAACAGTATCACCTTCCTCTCAGGCTATGCACCTCCAACTACTGTCTTTCATACTCCAGTGGTAACTCAGTGGTATCAATCCTAACTTTCAATACTATTCACCATGCCAGTCATCTTATGCCCAAACTAATGGTCTTCCTGTTTTCACTTTCTCCAATCCATCCTTAACATGCTGCCACCTCTACTAATATGTTTTTGATGACTCCCCACTGTCTAAACATTAAAATCTAACTTCTTTAACACAGTAGCTCAATATTCCATATCAGATCCCAGCCTGTCATCTGAAAGAGCTGTGCACCCCAGAGACCTGATCAGTAAGGAAAGACGGCTTGTAGGTGCCATCAGTGGACGTGTTGCCGGTTCCTCGCAAGGACTTCATGTGAGAAACTGCCATGCGTAAGATGGTGAGCTTGTCTGGTTTCCGAGCCAGGGCACTGCAGGTGGGCACCATATCCGACAGTTCCGTAATGTAGGCGGTCATCTTGTTTCGTCGGCGCCGTTCAATTTCACTGTGATTTTCCCTGCATGGAGAGAAAAGATGCCCCAACCAGGTAGGTGGTCACACTTTGCCATCAGGAGAAGGGAAACTGATAGAGATGCCAACTGAGCTGCTAAAGAAATGTGGTATTTAGATTTAGTCTCAGAACCTAGAATCAGGTTTGCCAACCTTCTCATGCAGAGCAAGCATGGAATAGAAACTAATAAGGCAGACAGAAAACAAGCAGATAACAGCAAATTCCCTCTATTTCCTGGAAATTTTACTTCCAATGTAAATTATCACTTTCTCAGAACAAAAAAATGTTTTAGGAAATGAGTCTTACAAAACAATGACTTAATTGACTTAAGATCCAGAGAGACAAATAATCTCAGACTGGCTGACTCCCTTTTTACTTTGATTTTTTAAAAGACTGAAAATATAAAATGACCGATGTTTTCTAACACAATTACGTTACTCGACAGCAGATACTGAAATGGATAGTATAAGTTCTATTGGTCTATAAAATGTCTGTTCTAAGCTTCTCTTCCTAATTTGGATGATTGAGGAGTTTCATTTGTCCAACTAACGCCCAAAGTCCCACCTTCTCTACTGAGTGTGGTGCTAATGCACTGAGCTCACAGAAGGTCCGATGCCATTTGCCAGGAGTATCTTATGGATCCCTAATTTGGGACAAAGTGATTTGGGAACAGAAGTGGAGTGGGGAGGAAGAGGCTTAAAGACCTGAAACAAACATCTGGATCTCCCCGGGATAAGCAGATCACATCTCTAATGTTGACTACCTCAAAATCAAGACGCAGTATCAATGTTAAAAGTCGTGATCCAGCAGTTTTCAAATTGGATTTCTGAAAAGAGCAGAGTTACTCTGTCCTCACAAGGATGCCTCAAGGAGACTCAGACAACACGCTGCACTTCTGCTTTACTTGAGCAGCTTTATCTCTGTGCTTTGCTTCCACTACCAAATACTCTATTTGAACAAAAGTTCTTTGTGAAAACAAAAAGAAAACAACTAATCTGATATAGACCCCTAGTGTGTGAGAACAGCAAACGAAGGCCTAGTAGTTAATAAGTGACGTTTCAAGGGCTGCCCCCACTGGCAACCAATGCAACACTCTTTCCCATATCATGCTAAGTCAGTTTTCTGAAGAGTGAAAGTGTTAGTAGGAGGCTTGAAAAGGCAGCAGAAAGAGCTTGTGGCCCAGCGACAAGAAAGGCGGGGAGGGAGAACTGCAAGTATCAGTGCTGTCAGCGCTCTCTCTCCTCCTGAGCTGTCCCACATCACAGAGACCAGGGAAAAGGAAAATTGCGCCCGGCATATCTTCTGCAGTACGTCTACATTATTAACAACAGTCTCCTTTCCTGGTGGTAAAATGGTATCACCACATTGGTCCATTTTGGGTTACTTTGGCTGAAAAGCATGAAATTCTGCTCTCAAACTTAAAGCACCCATCTTCCCAGTATGAGATTTCTGACACTTAGCACCAGGAGATGATCTCTTAAACAGCCACAAAAAGTTGCTAAAATTTTTCTGGGAAGCCACAAAGAGTCACTCACCAAAGCAACACCAGACCATTTGTGACAAACAATCCTCTACATAGGAAATAGGGGCAGGCTTTCTAGAGTGGGCGGAGTAAATGCTGAGGCAGAGACCAGGAGCTAATTGCAAACACAGATACATTTGTAAGTTTTCCGTTAAGAGTATTCTCTTACATAAAAGTACCAAGTTGCACAGCTGCATTATTTATAAAGCTTTTTATTCTGTGTAACTTAGTGCTGAGATAAGGAGGAAAAAGGAAAACTATAAGACTAATAGCAATTTCTTAAATGCCTAAGTAAAGTTTCCTCAACACGCCCACTTTCTGATGGGGGAAGCCAAAGTTCCTGTTACATACAAATTTCTAAAAAATTCTGTCTTCCCTCTCTCGGCACAGGTAAGGAAAAACACAAAGAGAAGGGAGAAGAAAAGAGCAGGTGAGAAAAAGGATAGAAAAGGCAGCAGCAACTGCTTCATCATGCTAAAGACACTGTTCTCCTACCTGGCGAGTCTCTCTTTATCCGCAGAGCTCTGCTCATCATCCGACCTAAAAATAAAATCAGTGAACTAAGCTAAAATTAAAATAAAAAGGAAAGGAAAAGGAAAAGAAAGGAAAGGAAAGGAAAGGAAAAGAAAGGATGCAGAGAAGAGAGGAGAAAATGGAAATACGAACAGGAACCTTGCCTATAGCTCCACAAAGCCATCTGCTAGGAGGAAGAAAAGTAACTTACGGAGCTAAAGGACAACATACAAGCAAGGTCAAAATTCTTTATGAATTACCACCATCTGAATACAGAAAGCATCTTGCCATCAATCTCTGCAGAGAGCAAGGATATACAGTTTGAACAAGCACCACAGAAGGGAATACCGTTCTCACACTACTTCCCATCTGGAAAGAAAATGATATCCACATATGCTTTTCTATAATGAAAAAAATCAAAGGGTAAATCGTAAGAATGCCAAACAAGTGACCACAAATACAGTCTCCCCCCAACACACACACGCACATGCACGCACACTCAGACAAAATTATCAACCAGGTTTCACTAGGGAAACTAAGAGCTAGGTTTCTGGCACATCCCCTATCACAGATTGGATCCTGAAGTAGTTAGTTTCTATTAAGTCACTTTCCCATTTTTCTGCAACAAAGGCACAACACTACTACATCCTAGTGACAACTCCCCATGCCCTGGGGACAGCTACAAAGGATTACCACTGTGTGTTTTTAGAACATGGAGATACTGTAAGAATTGGTAGCAACAGAAGAAATAAAGGAATTGGCGGACCAGTATCAGCAATCAATTCCATTTTAAATATACATATAAAGAAGTCTCAAAATATCTAAGTATGACACGTTAACAGGCTAAAAGACTGCTAGCTATTTAACAATGACAAGTACAGTTACTTAAGAATACATGGGGCCTCCCCGGTGGCGCAGCGGATGAGCGCTGGGTTGCGAAGCTGCCCACGGCCTCTGCGGCGCCGGTTCGATCCCCGGCTGCTCCCCGGCCACTGGAGGAGGGTCCCACATGGCGCGCAGACCCCTCCTGCCGCCCGCTGCTCCCCTCAGCAGTGTACTTCGGTCCTTCTGCCTGCTCTGCTCCCCGCTCTGGCTCTGGTGAATTCTCTCACCCTCCCGCGCTTCTCACTGTACCCAGTGCATGTATAAACAAAATAAACAAACAAACAAACAAATAAATAAAACATGCCTCTATTAAAAATAATAAATAAATAAATAAATAAATAAATAAAAGAATACATGGGAGGGCCTTCCTGGTGGCACAGCGGGTTGAGTGATGTGCTGTGAAGCTGTCCGTAGCCTCTGCAGCACCGGTTCGATTCCCCGCCGGCCAGGGAGCTATCCACATGGTGCGGCAGACCTCTCCTGTCTCACCTGTTGCTCCCCTCAACAGTGTCTTCAGTCTGTCTGCCTGTTCTGCTCCCCGCTCTGTCTCTGGTGAATTCTCTCACCCTCCCGCACATCTGGCCTATACCCCAGTTCTTGTATAAATAAATAAATCTTTAAAAATATATATATAGGAAAATTTCTATAAAACTGTCAGCAGGAAGGAGCAAAATAACAGTAATGACAGAACCACATAAAAACTTGTGCATCGGAAGAAAAAGAGAACTGACTGATATTAAACAGTTTAAACTTATGTGCTCATTGGGAACTACAGTTCCTGAGCAAATTACAAATTATAACTTTTATCAAAAGCTATATTTTAAGTTTTTGAAGAGACCCTCCTAAAACTCCAAGAAGGATGTGTGGTAGACCAGCTTAACAAAGTATACCTTAAAGGACTGAAATCTCTCTTTTTTTTTTTAAAGAGAGACCGATGAAATACACTGCTGAGGGGAGGAGCGGGCGCGGCAGGAGAGGTCTGTGCACCATGTGGGACCCTCGCTGGCGGCCAGGGATTGAATCGGCGCTGCAGAGGCTGCAGGCAGCCTCGCAGACCAGAGCTCAACCGCTGCACCACCATGGGAGGCCCTAAAGGACTGAAATCTCTTATTGAAAGAAATTTAAATATCTAAAATTCCCATTACTACTACTCCCACTACTACAGACACAATTCCTTAGCCACTCCTGTATTTCTGAGTGAAATATATGAATGCATAAACATTTACATTATGCAGGTCACATTTTCATAGCTTTTTGGAACCTTGGACAAGGGACTAAACCTGCACCGGCACGGCTATCTGATGGCCATACTTCCTGATGCCGCCTAAAGAAATATCCCCCAAATGCACATGACAAACCTCCCACTTCAGAGGTGGGTCACATTCTAAAGAATTTACAGACATGTACTCTGATAAACAAATCCTTCAAAAACCTCTGAAATCCATTCCTCTCCTATTGCCACTCTAGCCCTGGGCCTTGTGACTTTATGGCTGTCTTACCTCAACAGCCTCCTACCCATTTCACTGACTGCAAGTGTTTCTCTTTAATCGACCCTATACAGTTAATAGGGGGAAATCCTGTATTCTTTTATATGTTATCCTCTCATTCAAAGCCTCTGCTTGCATCTTGTTGCTTCAAAGTAGTTTTATATTACTCTGATATTTCTTAGCTGAATTAAAAAAAAAAACAATTTACTGTTTAATGTATAGAATGAACTTTCTAATAAACAGTACCTGAGAATTTGTTTAAAAAACCACAAAGTATTTTTTATCTTGACAGATAAATTAAGCAAATTTATTTCAATCAAAATTGTCTCCAACAAAAATTGTTTCCATTTTTAAAAGAATTAAAACCATTATCTGCAGGGCCTCCCCGGTGGCGCAGCGGTTGAGCGCTGGGTTGCGAAGCTGCGCGCGGCCTCTGCGGCGCCGGTTCGATCCCCGGCTGCTCCCCGGCCACCGGAGGAGGGTCCCACATGGCGCGCAGACCTCTCCTGCCGCCCGCTGCTCCCCTCAGCAGTGTCCTTCGGTCCTTCTGCCTGCTCTGCTCCCCGCTCTGGCTCTGGTGAATTCTCTCGCCCTCCCGCGCTTCTGACTATACCCAGTGCATGTATAAACAAAACAAACAAAGAAACCAGCAAACAAATAAATAAAGCATGCCTCTATAAAAAAAAAAATAAAAAATAAAAGTTTAAAAAAAAAAACAAAACCATTATCTGCATAGATTTTGTATGCCCCTTTAATAACAAATGCAACCAAGAGAAATCCATATTACTGTGTTTCTGTGGACATCTTGCACACACCTGTATAGCTCTCTATCATACACATAAAACACACCATTAGTTTGAAGCCATAGTTTGAAGCCATTTACCTAGATATAAACAATAATTATAATACTAAGTTTTACCAGCTTTCAGAACAGGACAGAGAAAAGACAGAGAAACTAAACTCTCACTGAGGTAAAATTAAAACTCAGTGAGCGTGAAGTGCAAAATGCTCTACTATGTTACCTGGCAAACCGCTCCTTATCATTAGACATCTGATCGTCATCACACCTGAAGGAGAAGAAAGAGGTTAGTCCAAACTACTGTACTTGTCGCAGCTATTTCACTTGGAAATGCAAACTAGAAAGGGATGAAAATACTCAACAAGAAAAAAAAGTCAATGGCAAAGCATCACACATCTCACACATATCTCATAGCATCAGCGATCATGACGACAGCATCCCACAGGGCTTGTTAGGCTCTGGTGTCTCCTTCACACCTACCTGTCAGACACTGCGAACCAAAGAAGGTGATTTGGGGTGGGGCACAACTGACTGCTTCTCTCGTTCAGAGATATGTTTTTGTTTTTCCTAGTTGTTTAAAAAAAAAAATCTAACAGAATTTATTATCTTGGCCATTTTGAAAAGTACAGTTTAAGAGTGCTAACTATATTCGTATTGTTGTGCAAAAGGTCTCTAGAACCTTTTTGTCTTGCAAAACCGAAGTTCTATACCCACTGAACACCATCTCCCACCCGGACTCCACTCTCTGTCCCTCGGATGCCGACTACTTGAGATACCTCGTGTAAATAAGTGGAATCAGACAGCATGTTATCTCTTTGTGGTTGGTGTATTTCACTTAGTTTGTAATATCCTTAAGACTCATCAATGTTGTAGCATGTACCAGGATTTTCTTCTTTTTAAGTTGAGTAGTATCCCATTGGATGCACACATCACAGTTTATCTGCTCATCTCTCAATGGCTATCTGGGTTGTTTCCACCTCCTGGCTACTATGAAAATGGGGCAATGAACATAAGTATGCAAGTATCTTTCTAAGAGTCTACTAATTATTTTCGCTATATTAAGTGGGGCTGCTGGATTACATGGTAATTCTAATTCTTAGCACTATGAAGCTATCCACAGCCACTGCAGCAAAAGTTCGATCCACGGCCAGGGAGCTGACCCACATGGCAGAGCAGACCTCTCCTGTCTCCCTGCTACTCCCCTCAGCAGTGTATTTCAGTCAATCTGCCTGTTCTGCTCCCCCCTCTGTCTCTGGTGAATCCTTTCACCCCCCCACCCCACACACACCTCTGGCCTATACCCCAGTCTTGTATGTATAAATAAATAAAATACATCTTTAAAATACACACACACACACACACAACTTTGTAACACCTAAGTAAGTGAAGTTAAATCTGGCCACTAACATAGTAAACTATTTAATAGAGTTTCTGTACTGATTTCTCAAATATATTATTCTGCAATGCAGACACCAATTAAGCAACATTTTCAACTTTGGAAATAAAAAAAGGCAGACTGTAGTCAAGGTTATCTTCCTTTCTTGACTCACTGCTTTTCTTTCTTAAAAACAAAGCTAAGTTACTGATCTTCAGCAAGAATAAATACTGCCCCTCTAAAAAAGAACTCCATCACTTACTAAAGGTTCATTTTTAGCACTCTGAAAGATTCAATACTCAAGGATACAAATTCCAATTTGTGATCTACAGCAATCAACTGGTATCAGAGGACACAATACAGTACATGCTACCAACTCCCCAACAATTAAATCTCCCAGCAGTTACTGCCATGTGTACCCCCCCTCCCCCCGCACTGACTCAGGACAGTGTACACACGGGCCATGTACATATGTCAGTACAAGCAAGGTCTGATAAACATTTGCAGACTAGAACTTGCCCTTTGGAATGCAGTCATCACCAGGTAAAGAAATGCAGTCTTGCTTCCTTAAGGCGAAAGACCAAAAGAAAGAGACAGCAAGCCCTATCAGCGGAGTCCGGCTGCCAGCTGAACCCAGCCTTATGAGTGCGCCTAGTCTAGATCAGCAGAGGAACAACCCAGTCAACCCACAAAATTGTATAAAAGAATAAATCACTGTTTCTAGGCCACACCACAGTAGATAACTGGTCGTGTAAATTCTCTTCCCTCTCCTCACTAGAGCCCCTTCCTCTACTAAGAGAATGCTTGAAATTTTTATGGGTACAACGTAATATGTACATTTAGTTTTAAGATGAAGCACCGTCCTTAAATCTAAGGACAAAAATACTGTAAATCGGCCTCCCTGGTGGAGCAGGGGTTAAACACAGTGCTATCAAGCTATCGGCAGCCACTACAGCAAGAGTTCGATCCCTGGCCAGCCAGGGAGTTGACCCACAGGGCGCAGCAGACCTCTCCTGTATCCCCGCTGCTCCCCTCAGCAGTGTGTTTCAGCAGATCTGCCTGTTCTGCTCCCCCCCTCTCTCTAATGACTCCTCTCATCCTCTGCACTACTGGTCTACACCCCAGTTCTTATATGCATAAATAAATAAATCTTTAAAAAAAATACTGTAAGTCAGAAAATATAAAATCATCAACTTTGCTTTTTAATATCAGAAATCTAAAGTTTTTCAAACTCTTACCTCAAAAATTTACTGTTCCCTTCTCCATCATCATCAAAATCCAACCTGGGGAAAGCCAACAATAAATATGGTAAGCTTACTGACAATGCAGAGCACTAAGAAATTACTAATTTGCAACTCATAAGTTACCTGACACCCACCCAACTGGAAGAAAGAAAAGAGGAAGTGGATTAAGCCAAGCAAAGCTATATTACCTCTTCCTTTCTATGCCAAAGTGAACAAAGAAACTGGGTGACTGAAAAAGAGAAAAACTTATCATTTTCCTAGGGTAGCAGTCCACCGTCACCTAAATTTTACATCACAGTATAACCTCTACAAAAAAAAAAAAGCAGGAGTCTACTCAAAATGAATAAGAAAAATTAAATGTGAACAATTCAGGTTAATTTTTCATTTCTATAGTCTAAGTTATGTTACCAGCTTTATAATGTCATCCTTCATTCTTTATATGATCTTCCAAAACAGTGATTTAAGGCTTCAGAAGATCATTAAATAATACTTCTGTCCTTCATTCATCTAATATGTGTTGTATTCAGGATGAGGTGGAAACAAACACCTTGCCCTCACGGAACTCTTTGCCTAGACAAGTACAAATATAAAGTAAATGCGAATAGCCAAGTTCCATGTAAGGAGTCTAATCAATCTGCTACAGACATTTAGTGGAAGGAGAGGTAACTTTCACTTCAGGAAGGTTACAGTAACAAGGTAGACCAACCTCCTACCACTCCCTGTACTCCATTCAGCTAACATAATCCATGTTTCGACCTTAACCCATTGATCATGCTCCCATCTCTGCTAGTATAATATAACCTGATATTATGAGCCGCTAAGTGGGTGACGTAGGAAGCATGCGTCAACCCTGAGGTGTTCATTCTTCTCCCTCCTTATAGCCCCTCATCACTTGTCAAAATCCTACCCATATAACTAATAACTCCGCTTCTAAAAATTTATTCTAAAGAAATAAATTGAAAATGAACTGAACAGAACATAACAAAAGTATCTTAAGCTCTGAGAAAGAAAGGGAGAGAGAAAGAGGTAGAGGGGGTCAACCTGATAATGCGATTGGCCTAGTAGCACTTTGCTGGTAGGCACAGGGAGGTATATACACACAACAGTGTGTGACACAGTATTCCCGAAACGTACACAGTCTTGTAAACCAATGTAAATAATAGAATTTTATTTTCAAAAAAAGACCTCAAAAATTATGTAAAAGATGTTCATTTCAGCATTACATATAGCAGTAAAATATTCAAAACAATTTGGAAGTTAAGGAATTAAATGCAGCCCCTTAAGTTAGTATGAAATTATGTTTATGCAGAATATGTAACAAAAAGAAAGATTATTATATATTAGGAGACAAGGCCAGGCTATATAAAATTATATAATTATCATTTTTAAATCTACATATAAAGAATGAAGGATGACATTAAAAAAATTCATGAGAGTTGACTTTGGGCAGAGGCACTACTGCTATTTTATTCTTTTTTCTGTCTATATTTTCCAGTCTTTCTATAACAGAATGTGCACTATTCTTCTAACATATGTTCCTGATTACCAATAATACCCATATCAGAAAATCCAGAATTAAAAAAAAAAAAAAAAACCTCTCTAATTTCATCACCCAGAAATCTGATAAATATCATTTTAGTTTTTTGATATTGCACATAAGTTACATTTATCTTCCTCTGATAGAGTGATATACTACATACACCGTGACTTCATCTATCTTAATATACTGTGAACATTTTCCTGTACATATACTTGACACTTCTAATAACCCTACAGTATCCCATTTTCAAATACAAAAATTTACTCAACCAATCCCCTAATTTTGATATTGATATTATTTCTAATTGTTTGCTATTGTATATAAAACCACTGTGATTTAAAAGAGTGGATTTTAAAGCTAAATTCCTAAGGTTCATATTCTACATCTTCCACTTAGTAACCTTAGAAATTTGGGTAAATTATTTATTCACCACATCTCAGTAAATGAGTTAAAAATGTGGAGATTGGGGCCTCCCCAGTAGCACAGCAGGTTGAGTGCTAAGCTGTGAAGCTGTCTGCAGCCTCTGCAGCGCGGGTTCAGTTCCCGGCCGGCCAGGGAGAAACCCCCATGGTGTGGCAGACTGCTCCGGCCTCACCCGCTGTTCCCCTCAGTAATGTCTTCAGTCCGTCTTCTTGTTCTGCGCCCCTATCTCTCTGGTGAATTCTCTCACCTTCCCGCACCTCTGACCTGTACTCCAGTTCTGGTATAAATAAATAAATCTTAAAAAAAAAAAAAAAAAAAAGTTGAGATCTTGGAGACATAGCGAGTCTTAATGTTAACCCAGGGATCACTTTGAATTATCATGGTGGGAGGAAACTTAAAAACTAGTTATAATGTTAGATACATAAGTTTAAAAAAGGGAAATTAATACCAAAAAAATGGATAAAACACTCCCCATTCTTCCAGGCCTTTCTCTAACAATTTCCTTTCTGAAGCATTTCCCAGTCTTTACCAACCAATTGTAGTATTTCCATGCTAAAACACATAGCACAGTATTTGTTTCTTCTTAGCAAATGTAACATATTCTATTTTACATTATTGTTACATATGAATGCTTCTTCCTGCCAGAATATAAAGACAAGTACTGTGTGCCTTACTTATCTCTGCATCCTACTAGCAGTCGGCACAATGTGTCACACTAACTAGGCACTGAATACTTTTGGAACTGAATGAACTCTGCATCCCAAATCAAGTACCATATCAATACTTAGAGCAGAAACATTCCTGTGTTCAGCACTTCCTAAATTCAGAAAAGTAAGAAGCTTACCAAAAAGAGATTGAGAATGCACACACAAAGATTACGAAAGAGCATACAGTTTTCTCAGCAACAGTGAAATCTTTGGGTTTAGTGATAGTCCTTTATCTTGTATTTTTGGTTTAAAAAAAATTCAAGAAACGCAGAGAGAGACAGCAATTCTATATAAGGAAAAATACAGGGACTAAAGAAAGCTATGTGACAGCAGCATAGTAAGGGAGAGTGAGGAAGAGCCAAGAGGGCATAGCCACTAACTACATCAGACTGATTTACAGGAGAAACGTTTGTGACACCTAAACTCACCCTGGCCGACGCTTAATAGCCCTCTGGACAATGGCTCCTCCACCTTGAATTCCAGGCCCTGGGTTCCCAGAAGCAATGGCTGAACCCAGTGATGGCACATCTGATGTCATTTCTGTCAGAGAAAAATGCAACACACTGTTACAAGGCATGGTCCTTGGTTATTATTACCAGCCTGGCTAGAAGGAAGGTGCAAGCCAGCAGTTTACCCTGGAGAAAGAGTAAAAATAAAAACTAAGTTCCTGCCACTTCATGGAGTTTGAAAGAGGAGTAGGACACTTGCAGCCTTCACTTTTAGAAATGTTTAACAGTAACATAGTAAGCTGAAACACACACATACCAAATTGGTATATACATTTCACTCATGAAACAAATATTTGTAAGTTATCTGTTAATTTTATTTGGAAAATACAGAAAAATCCCAAAATAAAAAATCACCTAAATTTCAACATTAAAAAAAATGATAAAAAGTAAACTATATCTCTTCTTTTCCTACCTTCTAGACCTCCCCTCTCCTTCAATATAAGCATTTACGAATTTATAGTCACACTTTCCTTTAGCTTATGCTATAAATTATATAAGTCTTTTCAGGTTGACCAACTTTTGATTTCCTGGAATAAACACACACTTGATAACCATAGTGGACTGAACAGTGTAAAAATGCTTGTTTACATAAAACCTCAGAATTTTACCTTAACTGGAAACAGGGTTTCTGGAGGTATTAGTTACAAGTGAGACGGGATTAATTACAACTGGATTAGGGTGGGGCCTAAATCCAAGAAGCTCTGTTTTTATCACAGCCAGGAGAGGGGTATTTGGACAGAGATTAGAATGATGCATCTGTAGACAGGAAAAGAGAGAGGTTTCTCCCTCAGGGACTCCAGAAGGAACCTTGTCTGCTCACATCTTCGTTTTAGACATAAAGTCTCCAGAAGTACAAGAGAATATATTTCTGTTTTCAGCCTTCCACTTTGTAGTAATTTATCATAGTCGGTCTGGTAAACTAACACAATAATGATACAAGATTCTTTTAATATACTCTGGATTTGATTTACTAATATTAGCTCCTCTTAAATGGAAAAACCTAGTGTGGTGCGAGGGTCATACAGTTAAGGAAAATTCTAAGTGCACTTTCCTTATATCATATACAAAAAATTCAAAATGAATCAAAAACCTAAGTGTAAGAGCTAAGGGTATGACATAGAAGAGACCATAGGGGGAAAGCTTCATGATATTGGCAAAATCTTGAATATATCAAAAGCATAAGAAAAATAAAAATTAGATAAATTAGATCTCATCAAATTTAGAAAATTCTGTGCATTAAAGGACACTATCAACAGTTAAAAGGCAACCCATATAATGGGATAAAATATTTGCAAATCATGTATCTGATATGGGATTAATATCCAGAATATATAAAAAACCCCTACAACTCAAAAATAACCAAAAAACTAAAACCCTATTTAAAAATGAGTAAAGGGTCCCATGTACTTTGCAACTGATTGTATGTGCTTTGTCCTGCACTGGTAGAAGAATCAAAATTTGAATTTTAGGGCCTCCCCGGTGGCGCAGCGGTTGAGCGCTGGGTTGTGAAGCTGCCCGCGGCCTCTGCGGCACTGGTTCGATCCCAGGCTGCTCCCAGGCCACCGGAGGAGGGTCCCACATGGCGCGCAGACCTCTCCAGCCGCCCGCTGCTCCCCTCAGCAGTGTGCTTTGGTCCTTCTGCCTGCTCTGCTCCCCGCTCTGGCTCTGGTGAATTCTCTCACCCTCCCGCGCTTCTGACTGTACCCAGTGCTCATATAAATAAATAAATAAATACATGTTTTAAAAAAAATAATAAATAAAAAAAATAAACGGGCCTTCTTTAAAAAAAAAAAGTATAAAAAAAAATTTGAATTTTAAATCTGAATAAATATGGGCCTCCCTTGTGGCACAAGGGGTTAAATCTCAGCACTATGAAGCTATCCGCAGCCTCTGCAGCATAAGTTCCATTCCCAGCTGGCCAGGGAGCAACCCACATGGTGAGGCAGACCTCTCCTGACTCACCCGCTGCTCCCCTCAGCAGTGTACTTCAGTCAATTTGCCTGTTATGTTCCCCACTCTTGTCTCTGGTGAATCCTCTCACCCTCCCACATCTCTGCCTGTACCCCAGCTCTTGTATGCATAAATGAATAAATCTTCAAAAAAAATTTTTTTAAAGTGTTGACGTGGATGTGTGAGAATGAGAACTCTTGGGCCCCGCTGGTGGGACTGTAAAATGGTGCAGCCACCATGGAAAACGGGATAGAGATTCTTTGCTACTGTAATTTCACTTTTTTTTTTTTAAGATTTATATATTTTTATTCATACAAGCACTGGGTACAGTCAGAAGCGTGGGAGAGTGAGAGAATTCACCAGAGTCAGAACGGGGAGCAGAGCAGGCAGAAGGACAGAAGTACACTGCTGGGGGAACAGCGGGCGGCAGGAGAGATCTGCGCGCCATGTGGGACCCTCCTCCAGTGGCCGGGGAGCAGCTGGGGATTGAACCGGCGCTGCAGAGGCTGTGGGCAGCTTCACAACCCAGCGCTCAACCGCTGCGCCACCGGGAAGGCCCTGTAATTTCACTTCTAGGAATACACTCAAAAGAAGTGAAAGCTGGGTCTTGAAGAGACACTTGTACAATATCCACATTCATAGCAGCATTATTCAGAATAGCCAAGTCTACTGACAAAGAATGGATATAGAAGATATGTACCCACACCCAACAGGATACTATACAGTTTTAAAAATGAAAGACACGCTACAATACAGATGAACCCTGGAGATATGCTAAATGAAATCTAAGTTACAAAAGGCCAAACACTACTATGATTCCACTTAATTAAGGTACCTAGAAATCAAATTTCTAAGACAGAGTATAGAATGGTGGTTGTCTAGGGCTAAAAGAAATGTGGATTAAGAAACTGTTTATTACAGAATTTTAGTTTTCCATGATGGTAAAAGTTTTGGAGGATTTACAACAATGTAAATGTACTACGGAACTGAACATTTTCAAATGGTTAAAATGGCAGATTTTATTTTGCCACAATAAAAAAATTAATACAAAGAAAAATGTTTGAGGAAAAACTGTATCCTTGAAATTAAAAGTATCCCCCACTGGGGCCTCCCCTGGTGGCGCAGCAGTTGAGTGCTGGGCTGCCAGCAGCCTCTGCAGCGCCAGTTCGATTCCCAGGAGAGTCCCACGTGGCGCACAGACCTCTCCTGCCGCGCCCGCTGCTCCCCTCAGCAGTGTATTTTGTCAGTCTGCCTGTTCTGTTCCCCGCTCTGGCTCTGGTGAATTCTCTCACCTTCCGGTGCTTCTGACTGTACCCAGTGCTTGTATAAATAAATAAATAAACCTTAAAAAAAAAAAGTATCCCCCATAAATGAGTGTGGAAACTAAGCTATAAAAAGTCTATATAGTGGGCCTTCCTGGTGGCGCAATGGGTTAAATACTGCACTATGAAGCAATCTGAAGCCTCTGCAACACGAGTTTGATCCATGGCCCGCCAGGGAGCAACCCACATGGCAAAGCAGACCTCTCCTGTCTCGCCCACTGCTCCCCTCAGCAGTGTATTTCAGTCAGTCTGCCTGTTCTGTTCCCCACTCGGTCTCTGGTGAATCCTTTCACCCCTCCTACCCCCACATCTCTGGCCTGTGCCCCAGCTCTTGTATGCACAAATAAATCTTAAAAAAAAAGTATATATAGTATACTCCTCCTTAAAGTTTATATGCATTAAGAAAAGCTGGGAAGAATTAATTTAATATTTATTGCATGTCTACCATATACCAGAGGCTGTTACAGAACCTAGAGATAAAGAGATAATTGTAACAGACAAAATCCTAACCCTTATGAATGTTACATGTTAGTAAAAGATATAAACAAAAGAAGCAATTAAAATATAAATTGAGTTAACAATATGAAATTGACATTTTATAGGTTGAAAAGGACAAATATCATTAATTTGAAATGGGTCAACCAAGCAATGTCATACAGTGATAAATGCAGAAAGATACACTGGGGAGTCCACATCAGAAGTTAAGGATAGCAATTTTATAGAGTGAGGGAATATCTCACTAAAAAGGTAACATTTAAGGAAAGATCAAAGGAGGTAAAGGAACTAACGAGGCAGGTGGTGAGAGAAATGCATTCTAGAAAAAGTAAAAACACCTGCAGGGGACAGTAAGCCTGTTAAATGTTAGAAATAATGTGAAAATCTGGAGCCTCCCCTAGTGGCGCAGTGGCTGAGCGCTGGGTTCGATCCCCAGCCACCAGCGAGGGTCCCATATGGCGTGACAGAGCTCTCCTGCCGCGCCCACTGCTCCCCTCAGCAGTGTATTTCGTCAGTCTGCCTGTTCCATTCCCCGCTCTGGCTCTGGTGAATCCTCTCACCCTCCCGCATTTCTGACTGTACCCAGTGCTTATATAAATAAATAAACAGATCTTTAAAAAAAAAAAAAAGAATGTGAAAATCATAGCTAGAATAGAATGAGCAAACATTACACAACAATTTCACCCACGATGGGTGACCACTATTAGTATTTTGATATGACTCCTTCCAGATAGTTTTCAGTATATATACCATAGGGCTCTGGGGCGGAAGGGTTACACTGTATTTATTCTGAACCTATTATTTTTTTCCACTCTTAAAAGGTATGTCTTGGTAATACAGATTTAGCTCATTCTTTTAATATTTATATAACACTTCACAGTACAAATATATGTATTTGTGGTATTCAAATGATCACTATAATAAACGTTTCGCGACTATCTCTGTGTATCTTCATGTACTTGTACCAGTCATTCTCTACAACCAGTCAGGGAGGTTCAAAAAGTTAGGTGAAACTGGCCTTAGAAAAAGGAAATGAAAGGAAATATTTCACACAGACAAAAAGATATGAGCAAATCCTAACAGGAGGTATGAAGCAGGCCCATGTAAGCACAGTGTCTGCATCTGGGAGAAAAGGTAAGACGTAGAGTGCTATCCAGTTGTGAGAAGGCCTTAAAGGCTAAGATGAAATCTTAGATCTGATTCAACAAATAAGTGAAAGACAAAACATACCTTTTATGTCAGAGTGACAAAAAGATCACACAAA